GGATGGTCCTCGGAGGCGACAGTAGAGACCGCTTTGCTCTCCCACGATGACTGGAAAGCTACGCCCATCACCGCGCCCCCGCGTACTGCCTCGCATCCAGATGAGAGAGGAATCCGGCCGGTCCGATTCCGTAAAGTATTCGACTGCCCCGATGCGAAAGGTGGCGGTAATACCAGACTCTACATCACTTCGCTAGGCTTATACGAAGCGTACCTGAACGGCCACCGCATCGGAGACGAGTGGCTCGCCCCCGGCTGGACTGCTTACCAACATCGCATTCAATACCAGGTCTTCGATGTAGCGCATCTCCTAAAGCCTGGCCAGCAGAACGTTCTCACAGGGGAAGTCAGCGAAGGGTGGTATGCGGGCCGAATTCTTTGGGGCGAGGGCTTAACCTGCTTCTACGGCGACCGCATCGGTGTACTAGCTCAGCTCGAGATCCGCGACGACGATAGAGCAGGACCAGCTTTGAAGCTTGTGACCGACGATTCATGGGAGTGCAGGTCCTCACCAATCGTCGGAAGCGACATCTACGACGGTGAGACGTACGATCTCGGTCTCGAAGTAAACGACTGGCATCACGACGACCACAGCGAATGGACACACGTCGAGACGCTACCGTTTCCGAAATCCACACTCATAGCAGCATCCTCTCCACCAGTCCGTACGACGGAGACCCTCAAACCCATCAAAGTCTTCAAAGACATCAACGGCAGGACGCTCGTCGACTTTGGTCAGAATCTCGTCGGCAAACTCGTCATCCCAAAGCTCGCAAAGCCAAACGGTCACCGCCTCACCATCCGCCACGCAGAGGTCCTCGAAAACGGCCAACTCGGAACCCGCCCTCTCCGAGCAGCAAAGGCGACCGATACGATCATCTTCGGCGGCGGCCGAGTCCTAGAGAACTGGTCCCCTCACTTCACCTACCACGGCTTCCGCTACGTCGAGCTGGACGGCTGGGACGATGTGACGCTAGACTCACTGTCCGCCGTCGTCATGCACACAGATATGCAGCGGACAGGCTTCTTCTCCTGCTCCAACGACGACGTCAACGCGCTGCACCGCAATGTCGTCTGGAGCATGCGCGGGAACTTTGTTTCTATTCCCACGGACTGTCCGCAGCGCGATGAGCGCCTGGGCTGGACGGGCGACATCCAAATCTTCAGCCCGACGGCCTCGTTCCTGTACGATTGCGCGGGCATGTTGAGCAACTGGATGCGAGACGTGCTCCTAGATCAGAAGGACGCAGGTGGCATTGTCCCGCTCGTGGTCCCCAATGTTATGAAGGACGGGCCCTGGCCTTCTGTGCCGCAGGCAGTGTGGGATGATGTTGTTGTACTGGTGCCTTGGACTTTGTATAAGTGGTTTGGTGACGCGGGCGTCTTGCAAGAGACGTATCCGGGTATGAGAGACTACCTCAAGTCCATCAAGCGCGGGGACGACGGTTTATGGGATTCTTCGCTTTGGCAGTTGGGCGACTGGCTCGATCCCAACGCGCCGCCCGCCGAGCCAGGTCTAGCTAGAACGGACGGCACCCTCGTCGCGGACGCGTATCTGGTTCATGTCACGGGCATCGTCTCTCAGATCGCCACCATCATCAATCTTCCGTCTGAGGCTGAGGAACTCGCTGGCGAACACAAACGGCTCAAGCAGCTCTTCCAGGACAAGTACATCACCAAAGCGGGCTTTGTCGTCGCGGATTCCCAGACGGCGCTGGCTCTGGCCCTACTCTTTGACTTACACGACACCACCGCCCAACGCGAAGCCGCAGCCGCAAGACTCGCGCGACTTGTGCAATATTCTAAGTTCAGAGTATCCACCGGCTTCGCCGGCACACCCGTGATCCTTCACGCTCTGTCAGAGACGGGATACGTCCAGCACGCATATCGTATGCTCCTCGAGACGGGGTGTCCCTCCTGGCTATACCCCATCCGCATGGGTGCCACCACAGTCTGGGAGAGATGGGATAGCATGCTAGAAGACGGGACAATCAACCCGGGAGAGATGACAAGCTTCAACCACTACGCGCTCGGTAGCGTCGCGAACTGGATGCACGCCGGTATTGGGGGGCTGTCACCGCTCGAGGCCGGGTGGAAGAGGTTCCGGGTTCGGCCTCGGCCCGGAGGGGACCTGCGACACGCCAGCGTCGAGTACCTGAGCCCGCACGGCTTGGTCCGGAGTCGATGGGAGATTGTGACAGATGAGAAGTTTGTATTAGAGCTGACGGTGCCGCTGAATACGTCTGCTGTAGTTTCTTTGCCGGATGGCTGGGAGGAGAGGACGGTTGGGTCTGGAAGTCATGTATTCGAGAGCCGTCTGGCTCCGGGACTAAGAGAGGCGTGGCCTCCCAAAGCTCTGTTGACGCAGTTTGGACTGTGATGTCGTTTGAGTGGACAATATTGACTTTGATGTGCCTCTGATGGGAGTCTCAGTAGATTTGCAACTCGCAACGCGAATGTCGACATGCTTGAATCTTAAGCTTGCAATACTGTAAGACGGGCTGCTAGTTAGCCCGCGTATTACTTGGATAGGTACTCCGTGACTTAACGCAACTCACAGTAATCATCATTGCAAGACAAATCTGTTGCACGGTAAACGTAACCTTTGTTAGTTTCTTATTGTTAATTGCCATGGTTGCTATAAGCGTCAACTATCTTTCCACCCCATTCTTGTACTATTGCCATACCCAAGGTTGCGAAAATCTCTTGAAGCTCGTCTTATGAGTGTTTGCTCAGGTGGACTGCCGTTTTGTTGCCGTAGAAACCTTGACTTGGAGCTGTGACCACCGCATAATGCACCCATCCAAAGGGGCTTTGGGGACTTTTGCGACGGACCCCTGCTGTCTCTGACTCTGACCGTCTGACGGATCTCCGTGCCGTAGAATTGCATCATTGCGGCCGCTGGTGACCTTCCGAGCTCGGTTACTCGCAAACCACTTGCTCATCTTTCTGATAAACTAAAGCTTACCCTCCTCCTCCTCCTCTTCTCATATACCATTGAGGATTGCTCTCTCCTCGAGTTCCTCCATCGACATTGCCCATTTGTCAAGCTGCCCATCATGCGCTACTCCCTCTCAGCCAAGCTGCTCCTCCTGCTGGGCTCTTCTCAGCTCGTGCTCAGCTCCCCCGATGACCAGCGCGTACTCGCCCCCGCTACTGAATCGACGATAAATGATGATGCCGCGACCTTAGGCTGGGATAAGGCCCCCATGTTCACGATCGAGAACAAAGACGTAATTTTCGCGGCGCTCAAGAGACACGCTGACCCCGTCGACGCCTTCATTTCTCTTCAGCCCGATATGGCGGACACGCTTGCCGAGCCGAGACTCATCCATGTTCATGGCGAGAAAATGGCAGAATGGATGACCGAGGGCGATAAGCTTCGTCTTCGGCGCAAGGGACGCAAGTTCCGCGACATCACTGATTTCCAGGAGCTTTACGCCGACCACGTCAACACCTTTGCAGGCAAAGCCAGTGAGTCCAATTCATAATACCCGTCGGGATTACTCCTCGTAGAATACGGACAGCTGATGCCCTCGCAACCGCAGACCTTCCCAAGATCACACACCAAAGCCTCATCAAGCCCCTCTTCCCCAAGGTCAATCAGACAAACATGCACAATGTCCTCAAGCACATGACGAGCTACTACAACAGATACTACGGCGGCGTCACCGGCGAGGAGAGTTCCGTCTGGCTGCACGACCACGTCGCCTCGATCATTGCCCAGTCGCCCTTCCACGCCCACATCTCGCTCGAGTACTTCACCCACGAGTTCCCCCAATCCTCCATCATCGCCCGCTTCGAGCCCAAGGTCCGCGACTTCTCCAAGCCCCTAACCATCATCGGCGCCCACCAAGACTCGGCAAACTACCTCTTCCCTCTGCTTCCCGCCCCCGGCGCAGACGACGACTGCTCCGGTACCGTAAGCATTCTCGAGGCCTTCCGCGTTCTCGCGACGAGCGGCTATGTGCCCAAGGAGGGACCCGTCGAGTTCCACTGGTACGCGGCCGAGGAGGGCGGGTTGCTGGGTAGCCAGGCCGTTGCAGCCTACAAGAAGAAGGAGGGTGCCAACATTGGCGCCATGATGGAGTTCGACATGACGGCTTTTATCGCGCGTAACGCTACCGAGTCGATTGGGTTCATCAAGACGGATGCGGACGCGCCGCTCACCAAGTGGGCGGTGGACCTGAGCGAGGAGTACATCAACATCACGACGAGCGTCTACGAGCTCATGCCTGGCGCCGGGTCGGATTACATGTCATACACCAAGCTCGGGTTCCCTGCTACGTTTGCATCCGAGGGAAACCCCGTCGCGGGTGGATTCCCTGGCGAGTTCGACCCGTATGTGCACACGGAAAAGGATACCATGGATGTCGATGATGAGACGGGGGTGTTTTCTATTGACCACATGGCGAGGTTCTCTGAGCTGGCCATTGCCTTTGCTATTGAGCAGGCTGGGTGGGACAACAAGTGGAGGTAAAGGGCGGTAGTAAGGAGGACCATAGATTGATGCTAGCGAAGTTCTGATGATAGTATCGCTTTGATGATGTGTCTTTGAGAGCCATGATAATTGTGGAGGGATTCGAGAAAGTTCAATCACAACCGCCCATTTCCTGTTCAGTGTACGAGTACCTTGAAGTTTGAGGAAGCCAATTCCGCATCGCGGCCAGTTCCTCATCGCATTCCGAGCCAGTTCCGAAGAGCTCTCGCCCACCTAGCTTGTCAAGAACCTTAGCTGATGGCGTCAACAATAGCTTGAATATGCATAATGCGATCGATGACAAATGCGGGGGGCTCAATGACAAAGTGCGGAGACAAACAGCGTCTCGGCTCCCACATGTAATCGTAAGTTGAGCAAGACAAGCTGAAGAATCTCATGAAGTGAATTTTGATCTCTCTTCGTTCATCAAGCTAAGGAACTCTCCTAGTCTTGCGAAGCTTAGGATCCAACGGTTCTAGCAAATACAGCTTCACACTAAACGTTACCGACTCACTTCAACGATGGCCTCAGCAACATCCTTCCGCCAAATCGTCGGCGCCCCGCCCTCGACGGCCTCACCCACCGACAGCACCCTCATCATCATCGACGCCCAAAACGAGTACGCAGAAGGCAAACTCGCCGTCCGGGACGTCACCTCCTCACGCAAGGCTATCGCTGCCCTGCTGCAAAAGTACCGCGACGCCGGCCAGCCCAGCAGCATCGTGCACGTCGTCCACGATACGCCCGAAGGCGCTCCCCTCTTTACGCCTGGAACCAAGCTGGCCGAGGAGTTCGACGAGCTGAAGCCCAAGGACGGTGAAAAGGTGGTGAGGAAGCAGTTTCCTGGTTCCTTTGCGGGAACGGATTTGCAGGCGCATTTGGAGGGGTTGGGAGCGAGGGGGAAGAAGGTTGTTTTGACCGGGTACATGGTGAGTCTGGCGCATTTCGCATGCGGGAATCTACCCTTGCAAGATGACAAGTTTAAATGCTGATGTGTGGTTTTGAAGGCTCACGTTTGTGTGTCTACTACCGCTAGACAAGCTGACCAGCGTGGGTTTGACGTTCTGATCGCTGAGGATGCGGTCGGCGATCGTGATATTCCTGGCGTCGATGCAGCGCAGCTCGTCAAGGTTGCTTTGAGTGAGATTGGTGATGCTTTTGGTACTATTGTGCAGAGCAAAGACATTGTTTAGCCTTGTTCAGGAATTGAAGTACAATATGAGTTTGTTGGTTCAACTTGACATTTATATATACTTGGTCGACGATTACAACTGACTTCCAGTGGTCTGGGAAAGACACAACAATATCCATGGCGACGAAGCAGCAGTCCAGGTAACGATTAGGGAATGCAATACTTTAGTACGGACAGGTCAACAGTTGCGACTCAATTTTACCATATGTGACGTTCCCAACAACGATATTTGTCAAGGAGCTCTTTCAACCCGTTCCACTCACTCTTATACTAATGTAAATAGGGCTTGTCTTTTTAGGCCCGACAGAGGCCCCATCCTAGGTAACAATCGAACTCCTCCACGCGGTCCCAGCCGTGTGGTTCTCAAGGTGCATCGAGAAAACAAATCGATAACTAGCTCAGTATCTAGAGAAGAAACATCGAACCATCCAAATTCAGATCCATAGCTGAAATCGCCGATTGGCGGCGCCATAGTGCGGAGAAAACGGCACCACGCCATCAAGGCCCTGACGATCGGCGCGGCGTACCCAGAGCTGTTGAAGCCCACTAAAGAGGCACAGCAACCGTTACTGATTCGAATACTGACGGGACATTGGTTACGCTCTTCAAGAACAAACATGGAGTGCCGAGGAAGAGTTATGAGAGCCCACAGGAACTCCATCGTTGCAGGGCCGCGCAGCTAACCGACTTGGCGAAGAACGAATTCATAGCCCAAAGAGGCATCAGTGTCGTCACCACTCTGTGCTGCTCAGCTGGAGCAAGCTGTTGGGCTCTCAATGTCCCACTGAATAGCTCGAATACTCACAAAGTTGCAAGGGCAAAGCGGCGGGTTTAGCAGCTTGGGATTCGGACCTCGGACAACTCAGTTCTGCGAGCGAAGCATTGGCGCGCTCATCACCATATGAGAAAACTGTTGTTTGTTCTTGTCTTGCGACGGCCCCACGATGGAAGATGAATTGGATAAAAGGTATAAGCAGCCGCACAATGGGATGAACTCGCGATGGCACCACCCTATCATTGCAACTCAATATCAAGTGCCACACATTCTTCGCGACGGCCATAGTTATTAGACTTGTCTCTAGTTATTAGACATCTGACCCCGACGAAGCCATCACGATGAGATTGTCCACCCTCTCCACGATCCTCTCCTGGGCAGCCGTCGCGTCCGCCGTCGCCATCACAAACGAGACCTCGCCCTCCCCGAGCATCCCTAACGTCGTCCAGTCTACCTGGGACGGAAAATGCTTCTACCCTACCCCGGACGCCGCCTTCGACCTCGGCTCCTACCTCGGCCGTTGGTACCAGGTCGCCGGCACCGTTGCACCCTTCACTGCCGGTTGCAAGTGCATCTTTGCGCAGTACTCTCTCAATGTGCGCACACACTCTTCTCCATTCTGTGCGACTTGAGTAGCTGTGTTTGAGGGCATGTGTGACGGTCTAACTATTATTCGTTATTTAGGATAACGGCACCGTCAAGGTGAACAACACCTGCGAAGCCGGGGGCCGCGCCATCAACATCCTAGGCACCGCCGCGCCAGCCGATCCGTCGTACGGAGCCAAGGGTGTCCTTCGCGTTCAGTTCCCCGGCCAGCCCGGGCCCGATTGCGCCGGCCCGAATTACATTGTTCAAGGTACGCGCAATGCGCCCCTATAATTGAGAGCGTACTCAGGCACAGAGCTGCTCTTCCACGTTGGGGCCGAAACCTTGTCAAGGTCCTTACAAGCTGACAATGTGATTCCCTTTGCACAGACTACACCCCAGACTTTGCGCTCGTGCAGGCTAGCAACTTTACGACTCTGTTCGTGCTCAGTCGCCAGCGGAACCCGGAGGACGCGGTCCTCGACGTAAGTCTCACCTCTCTGTTCTCTCCCATACAGTGCAATGGGATGGTACAATAATTCCCGCAAGCGTTGCAACCAGTAATGTAAGCGCATGCAATTGCTAACGGGATAAATTCTCGACAGGCTTGGATCGCGCGCGCCGGTCAGCTCGGCTCGAATCTTGCAGACGTTGTCAAGACGGATCAGACCGGTTGCCAGTTCGCATGAGACATGGGGAATGCGCCAAAGGCTGCATCTGGGGATCGCGAAGAATCTGTGCCTGGCGCTTGGCCTGGAACGGAAGAATTGAGGTAAGACTTTGGGTCTTCGAGTGTCCAAGAGCGGTCTTTGGGGCCAAAGGTAAAATAGTGGTATTTCTACAAAAACAGACGAAAATTCCATGCAAATGCCGGATGTCTCGTGTCATTGTCAATGTCAGTATCGCAGCCGGTGACATTCGCAAGCGGATACATAAACTGGGGAAACTGAGATGTGAGAACTGACCGTATGTGCTCAGACCTCGATGTTGAAGCAGACAAACAAGTCAGAGCTCATAATCGAGGCTTCTAAGTCATTGGTCAATGGCCGTAGATCTCACAGCAAGCCCCCGGAGCTCAGCTCCAGCTCCAGCTCTCAGCTATCAGCTCACCTTTAAACTTTGGAGCTTGGAGCTGTAGCTTCGACACCATGACCCCATAAACTTCATTGACTTTTCCCCCATGTTGCACCAGTGCGACCATCAGGCGCGCCCACGGCGTAAGTTGTGCCACTTATGCAAGGGGTTTCTATGACGACACCATCCTCAGCCCGAGACATCATGACGAATGTGGCCGCGTCCGGCCTATGTTTATGTGAACGCATCTGTGGGCACCCATGAATTGTGGAAGAGGACTAGGAAAAAGAAAATAGGAGAGGCTGGACCTGAGCTTTAGGACTGAGAGCGGAGGTCAAGGACGGGGATGATGATGAGTGAGGTAATGAATTGAGTTTGATTCAAATAGCTCTCGGGTCCTCCTTACGAGGGGCGCCTTGCTCACGAGTGCCTGCTGTCGTTACTACTACGTAAAATTGATCATTATCATACAACGAAACTTTGAACAGTAGCTGCATCCCTACCACGACTGCTATATCATCCATTATTTCACACTACCACCGCAACAATGGTTAAAGCCAAGGAAGAGGTTATTTCCGAGTTCAATGAGTACGTCAACATGACGGCCGAGGACCTCGAGTCCTGGCTCAAGTCGGACGACTCAAACAGCGCGGGCTGGCCCAAGGACGACGCCGAGGGCGAGGGCGAGTCGGTCGGACATGACAGCGGGCGCAAGATTGTCGAGATCCTCCAGGCGAACCCCGAGAAGAAGGAGGACGAGTACACGGATGAGCAGGTTGAGCACATGCGCAAGGTCGTGGCGTACTGGTGAGTATACTTTCGCCAGAGACGGGGCGAAGCATGGGATGAGTGAGAAGCTAATCGAGTGATGCAACAATAGTAAGCGACACTTGGCGCAAGAGTCCAAGGGGAACAGCGATAAGTCGCCCGAGGAAGTGAAGAAGAGCAAGTCGTATGCTTCACTGAAGAACTGGGGGCACGACTTCCTCAAGGCCCAGGGCAAGGAGAATGGCGCATCAAAGTCAAATGGAAAGTCTACCAAGAAGGAAGAGAACGGCGACGAAGAGAAGGCCGAATCGAATGGGTCTAAGAAGAAAAACGGCTCCAAGAAGGACGAAGAAGAGGCCGAAGATGACAAGGAAGAGGAGGCTGCTGACGAAGAGGCCGAGGACGAGAGTGAGGAGAAGGCAGGTGATAAGCGCAAGAATGCTAGCGAGGAGAACGGGTCTAGCAAGAAGCGACAGACGCGCCAGGGCGAGGGCAAGTCGACTGAGAAGTCGGATGAGAAGAATGGGGATGATGAGAAGGAAGAAGAGGCTGAGGAGAAGGATGAGGATGGTGACGAAGAGATGGAGGACGACGGCGACGACAAGGAAAATGGCGGCGGTAAGGCCAAGAAAGGACCTAAGAAGGGCGATACCGTCAGCTGGAACTGGGGCAGTGGTCAGCCTGAGGGCAAGGTCCTTGACGTGAAGGGCGAAAAGTGAGTCAATCGAGAGGTCTCATTGTCATAATGAAGACAGGACTAACGCGATACTTAGGACGTCTATCACGACGAAACGCGGAAACGAAGTGTCTCGCGATGGAGATCCTGAGGATCCGGCCGTTGTCATTGATACTGGAAAGTCGAAAGCAATCAAGTCTGCTCACGAGTTGAATGAGTGATTAGAGCTACGGAGCCGTAGAGAAGGCATACTTCTTCGCCGCGATCGGTCTGCGTTACGTCAGAAAGCATGTATAGATGCGTCGTGTACTGTTATTGTTTAGTGTACCACCTTTTTCAATTGAAGTGCTGTGATTGAATGGACAATGAAACCTGATCTGAAATGCGATGTTACAATTCTACACTCCTATACAACATTTTACACGGCGTACATGATCGATCTTACAACTCTTCCACTCTCTCCGACTGCGAGGAACTCGTATCCTTCTGGAATTTGGTGATGGGATCCTTCTCGGCCTCCTTCACCTGGTTCCAGAACTTCTCACCATTCTCCTTGTCATCCTTGAACAGGTGATCAATCACCAGCTTCTTGGGCGTCTCACCCATCCACTGGAAGAGAGAAAAATCGCGGAACTCATCAGCCCGGAAAATCTCGAGCATCTCAATAGGCTCATCGCCGATATTCTCAACAAAGTGACCCATGTTTTTAGGCACAATACCAACATCGCCAGGGACGTAATCGAAAGTGCGGGCAGTGCCCTCAGCCGCGAAGATGGTAATACGGGCCCGACCCTTGATGAAGAAGGACCACTCGTCAGCATTGGGATGCCAGTGCATCTCGCGTAGCGCGCCAGGCTGGATCGTGAGGTGGGCAGCAGCAACCTGTAAGGGACATGATTGTCAGTCTCGAACATCCTTAGAAGCGTGTCGAGGTTTCAATTCCTTACAGTCTTAGAGATGGGGAAGTTCTTGGAGTCGGTGATGCGGACCTCGCCGCCGGACGTCTGCTCGGGCTCCTGATCAAGCATCCTGTGGGTGAAGTTGAAGCGGGACTTCTTGGCATGCTTGCCCTTGGGCCGTTCCTCGTCAATGGGGCCCGGGAGCGTGCCCTGGAAGATATATTTCTCGCCTTCGGGGAGGTGCTTGAAGACTTCGGGCTCGAGGTGGAAGTTTTCGGCAATGACTGACTTGGGCGTGTGCGCGAGCCAGTCTGACAGGATAAAGGTCGATTCCTCAGAGAAACGGCCATCGTCAAAGATGAGGAGGAACTCGGTGCCATTGGGACTCAGTCCTTGCAGGGAGTGAGGGACGCCTGACGGGAAGTACCAGAGGTCTATTGGGTATTGATTATTAGCTTTCATTGCCATCGTCGCAAGATCAATGTTGATAACAGCTTCAAGCAATCGAAAAGGTGATGGAGGCATATGCTTACCGCCCTTCTTGAGATCGTCGATAAAGTTACCGCCCTCGTAGTCGAGCGCTGTAACGCGAACTTCGCCGTCCAAGACGTACGCCCATTCGGCCTCCTTGTGCCAGTGAAGCTCTCGAATGACGCCCTCCCCAAGGCGCATGTTTACACCGGCGAGCTCGACGCTGGTGGACAGCTCACGGACAGTTGTCTGTCTCGTCCATCCGCCTTCCTGTTATTTGGCAAAAGTTGTTAGCCTGGGATGGACTTGGGCTTGCATGGTGGCTTTAGTGCCACTCTGACAGCTCAATTGGCTTCAAACCACTGAGCACTCACCTCAATTCGAATATGCGAATCCGCGAAACTCCAGCGCATGTTGGGCATGTTTCCCTTGTCCGTTGAAGGCGGCCGCACCATATCCGGGTTCTGGCGCGAGCGCTCGCTGTTCCAGGGCCCCAGCACTGAGGCGCCGAGCCCATTGCGGTAGGGAAGCGGGTCGAGGCCGTCGCCGACCGAGTCGACGGCGCCGTCATTGGGATCCCTGAAGCCCGGAACGTACGGGTTGCTGGTGCTCTTCTTCTTGTAGCTCGCGGGGATGTCCATGCCCCGGAGGAGACGCTCACGGGGGCTGTCAAAGTGCGGTGCCGCCGAGCACAGCTCGCTGGCTGACGCCCAGAGAAGCAACAGCTTGGCTGCCGTGGGTTGGGTGAGATGCATGCTGGGCCAAGATTTCGTGGTGATGGGGATCGATGCGACGGGACTGGAGGTATGCGATGTGCCAAGAGGGTAGCTCGCAGCAGAGAATGGAAATGGGGTCAATTGGGTCTACAATTGACTTTTCTCTTTCTTCAATGGCCAAGAATAAGACACAAGAATAAAAGTCTTCAAGAAGCAAGACGTTCAGCTCGTGACACTGGGAGCCAGAGGCTATTTTATACCCCCCTTTCTAAAGCTCATCATCCGACTTAGCCATGCCAATACTATTGCCTTGACCTCTTCCTCGGCCTCGCCAATGTCGCAACCAACTCGTAGTACGTAAACACGAAGAGCTTACAAAGGGAACCATCCCTCCGTCGTAGTCATCGGCGCATCACCTCACCCGCCCATCGCTGCAGTCTGCAGGTTGAACCGAACGGTGACACACACCACACACCAAAATCCCACGTCTGCCACACACCCACCAATCCGTCGACGCACATGCCGAACCACCCCCGAGACTCAAGCTCCCCCGCAGCTGTAGCAACAATGGCAAGGTAGTAGGGTACCTTGCCAAACCAAGCAGCTTCAAGAGCTGGCACTGCTGCTGCTGCTGCTGCTGCATGCCACCTTGCATGGAATGTTCAACAAAAGCTCCCCCTCACTGGCTGAAACGCGGTAGAGCGATGGGCATAGGTAGCACGTCTTGCGCATGCGGGGATGAACCAGTCAACCTGCCTCCCCAGTGATAGCCGGCGTACCAGGGGAAGAGAGGAACGCTTGCCGTAGACCAGGGCCAGGGAGGGGAAGAGGAGGAGTAACAGACTACTTGATTAGTCTATTATGAGAATCTGGACGCACTGAGGTGGCCTGGCGTTTAAGCTCTTCACTCAACGAAACCCAATTGGCCTTTCAGGTGAGCTGCTGAAGCTCTTCTCCATCGTTCGGTTCGCTGCGACGTTGGCGGGATGCCTGCAGCAGGCCATGACGCAGGTTCCTGCGCCTTGAGCTCTACTCCCAATGCAACTCCAGAACCATCGATTGGACGGGGCATATGTCGGAGATCCTGGAGAAAAAGCTGGTTCCGCGGCCAGGCGTTGTCAGGCCCCCGGTTTCACTGCGTGACTGCAGTGACATTCTGCATATCCTTTCTCTGACTGAGCTTAGCTCGAGTCCCTCAAGGCTATTTCTGATGGGCTTGCTCATGCTTGTCCCAGCTTCTCGCGTTTCCCCCTCACTCTCTTTGCTCGAATCCCACGCCCCCTAAAGGCCCGAAAGTCACAGATCATACCCGGTCCGTCGAATGGCATCTTTCTAATCCGCGAGGACCGTCCGCCGAGAGATTTACGAGCGGGGATAGATCGCTCTTGGTCTTGGCTTTCTTTCGGCATTGCTTTCCGCCCTTTGGCCCATATAAACCAGGCTGGAAACCTGGAAACTTTTCGCGGGTGGACCACGGCAGATCCGAAGTGCTCGAGTTTCTGGCCTTTGGGCTTTTCTTCAGTCTTTGCAAAGTGCTAACGGATACCACAAGCATTGGGCGTCAGCACCCACCGGCTGTCTTTCTCCCCCATCCTCGGCACATCCATGCCAACTTGAGAGAGAGTTTTATTTATATCCGCATAATTCTTCGCCAACCAACGTCACTTGGTCAGAGCTTCCAGTCTCTTCGAGGAACATCCCATTCTCAGTGAAGCTAAAGCTACTGCTTCTCAACCACCATTCAACGTCGCGATCTGAGGCGCCCTATCGAAACGACGCATCGACAACACCGTAAAGATGAGCTCAACGAGCGGCAACTACGGTTCCGTCACCAACTCGGCCCCGGTCGTGAACGGCGACTCCCACGCCCACACCGATGAAGAGCAGCCTCTTCTTGGCGGCGGAGGCGGCGCCCGGAAACCAGCTTCCAAGTCTCTGCGAAAGAAGCTCACTACAGACGTGCAGCGCGACTGGGCCGACCTGGTTCTCTTGGCATGCTACATCATCACCGGCCTGCTCGACAGCTCTTCCATCTCCATCTGGGGCTCTTTTGTGTCTATGCAAACAGGTAAGATCCCTTCCAAGCCTTCCTTACCCACAATAACGGCCCGAAGCTTCGCGTTCCACAGTACTGACACGGAACAAAAAACAGGAAACACAGTCTACATCGGCCTCGGCCTCGCCGCGCCCACCGAATCCACCCGCTGGATCAAATCCGCCACCTCGCTCATCTCATTCTGTCTAGGCTCGTTCTTCTTCAGCCGATTCCACCGCTTCTTCTCCCCCAAGAAGCGCTGGGTCCTCTGCGCGTCCTTCATCGCCCAGACCCTCCTCTGCGTCGCCGCCGCCGTCATCCTGACCGTTGGTCCTGCGGCCGGCAAGGATGAGATCGCCTGGAACGTCCTGGTGCCTATCGCCCTCATCGCCTTCCAGAGCTGCGGTCAGGCTGTCACCAGCCGCGCGCTGAAGTATAACGCGCTCACCAGCGTTGTATTGACAAGTATCTACTGCGACCTCTTCTCTGACGCTGAGCTTTTTAGCGTTCACAATGCTGAGCGAAACCGAAGAGTTGGCGCGCCTGTATTGCTTCTTGTTGGTGCCATTTGCGGCGGCTTGTTTGCGCACAGTTCCCTGGGAATTGCTGGCGCTCTGTGGACGGCCGCTTTCTTGAAGTTCCTCATCGTCTTGTCGTGGTTCTTCTGGCCGGGTGAACCGACTTCGGACGAAGAGTAGATAAAGTGTATACTGGACTGTATGTAGGCCGCCATCTGAAAAATGATCTCCCTTTCACTTGCTGGCTAGATGGTTTGAAAGTCAAGCCCGGGGAGCTCGATCTCGAGACTCAAGCCCACAAAACTTCAGCAGTGGCATATAGATAACACGAACTATTGAAATATGTTACAACGTGTGCAGCGATGAATCAAAGAACTGAGCTACTCCAAACCTGAATGAATGAGCGGTCCTCTTTATTTCCATCTTCTTCTTATGACTCTACACCCCTTCCGCCTCTATTCTGTTTGCGCATTTTTCGTAAATTTAGACAAGCCAACCCCTACTCGACAACTTCCTTCAACTAGGTAAACACCAAGCTCCTAGCAAACCAGCTATGCTTCCAATTCAAATATGAACTTCTCAGGGCTCAGCAACTCGTCTTTCGCTGCCGACCATTTGCCAACGTCGCTTGGAGTCATTGGAGCTGAGCGATTTGAATCTCCTGATGCTCGCGATTTGGTGCTTAAGGAGGAACTAGAGTCATGCAAATGATCATGTAACCCTGAAACGGCGCCAGTACGTTCCCTCATACTTTTATAACGTTGGGTATTCGCCTTGCGAAGCTCAGCGACACTCTTCAGAAGCTTGTTTGAACGAGGCGTTTGTGCTATAGATTGAATAGTTGTTTAGCCACTCATGTTGCCTGTGAACATTGACACCAAGCGGACTGAAAGGAACTCACTCTTTCTCTGGCTGTCTTCGCTCATCATCTCTCTAGGAAAGCCACTAATTGGGAGGAAGGCGTTGCTGGAGTGGGGGTATAGCTCTGTCCGCAAACACAGAAATATGTTTGTGGTTGATAGCTCTTTGCTGACCACGACACGAATCCTCTTGAGCTTGAATGTGCCTCGGAGATACATGTCAGTGATGTTTGCTTCCGGCATGGGTATCTTCGAGGCATCGTCAGGCAGCGTCCCCGCCTCTTCTACGACAAAATATGGTTCAAAGTCGCCTCTCAGACATGTGCGGAGGAATTCGCCTAAATATTTCATCTCGTTGGACGAATTGGCAAATCTGCAGTGGATGCGGCCTTCGGTACATATGTCAGTCTTTCGTAATGATACATTTGAGCGCCATCAAAACGCCACAAGGTCAAAATTCTATAAACAGGATCCATGATATGCTTACCTGTGCACTCGAAACCTTCTTTCACTTGTCTCACTGATCCCACATCTTTCTCAAAGAAGAAACAGCTTGCGACCAGTCTGTGTGCGATTTCCTTGATCTTGCCCCGGTTCAAATTGAGGTACCGTTTTGTCGCTCTCTCTAGGCTGTCCAACTCATTGACCGCATCTAGACGGGGGACTTTGAACCGCAGGTCAGGGTTGACACGGATATGTCTGCGGTGACTATCTCTGGTCACATGTGAGTTCTGCGATAGGATATCAGTCTTGAAATCGGACCATATCGCGTTGCAGGAAAGTATTCGATCGAAGCGATCGGCAGCAATTTGAGCTAGCTGTACAGGTAAGAAGGTTCTCTTGCGCTTGGTCACGGTCTCGCCACCTTTCAATATCTCCGTTCTATGGGCAGTAGACTGGATCTCATTATCAAGACCGTTCATTCCCGTACCGATGGATAAGAGAATGTCAGGCACAGTGTCGGCGATGTCGGGCCATATCATTCGTCTTTCATGGTGAGCCACGAGTACTGGGCAATTATGGTAGAGCGCACCATCGAGGTAGCTACTTTTGGTGTCTGCCTTCGTGAATGATTTGAAGAATGGAGGTGCAGCGGATGTTGCTCGAGCCCTTCTCATTGTTCAGTTTCAAGACCATGAATTTTAGCATGGAGTCTATGGTACTTACGCCTCCCATGCTTTGAACTCTTGACTTGGCTCGTTGGATCGAAAGAGCCGATAAGGAAGCTCTGCCTCAATTAGTCTTGTATCTTATGCGAGCCGAGAGAGTCATGCGGCACATGGGGGGAGTACTTACCATCATCCATCGAATCAGGTCTGTTGTAATTCGTGAGAATAACTGAGTGCTGGTCAATAGAAGTTGTCGAGGTTACAGCCACTTTCGTTAGCATTTCGCTCTGGCTATGGTCGTTGGCTCCTCCGAAGAGTGGCCGATCCTGAAACTTCTCCCGCAGAAGAGCCTCAAATGGTTTGGTCTTGTAGATACTTCCGTGATTGATCGTGACAAGCTTCTCAAGCAGCGGAATGCCCGACAATTCGCGTGGCCTGAAGGCGTCTGCACAAAGGTGTTTGAATGTCTTGATACATTCCTCCACGGACCAATTATTGACTCCTAGTCCAAGAGCAATAATTCCTCCCGTGCTATCGCCAAGGTTAGGTAAGTTTCAATAACGACCCCAAAATGAGACGAGCATACCTTGTACCGACAATCAGATCGAAAAAAAGCTGTATCGGGAGTCTCTCACCGAAGACTCTTTCAATGGCTCTGAGAACGTGAAGCTCTACAATCCCTCGGACTCCACCACTATACGAAACGTCAGCTAGTGAGCAAAGCTTTATTCCGGGAAGAATGGCAGCTGAGGGGGCATCGTACCCGTCAAGACACAGTACTCGAGCGCCCGCAAATTGTGGTTTGACCACAACCGTCCATGCAGGCTCCCACATTGTTTCCCTTTCGTGCAGAGGACACCTTTTCATCTCAACTGTCGTATGAGCCTTGATACCGTAGGCTTGAATACAAGGTAGACACAGAACATGACCGCAGGGCAATGGATGTTCAGGGAGCTCTCTTAGACACGAAAAGCAAGTGGAGTGACTGATAAAGTCCCCTACATTACCCAAAGAGAAGTAGAAGTCGTTAAGTTGATACCTGTGGAGATCAGCAGCGACCTTTTGCTCGCTCTGCTCGCGCACTCGTGAGGTGGCTTCTTGGAACCTGGCATGAAGCTGACGCAGGTGATTTCGAATTTGATCAATCCACTGACCCGCAAAGTCTTGCAGGTCAACGTCTGACTGATAACTTCCCGCTGCAAATATACGTCCATGTTTATTTTGGTGACCTTTCGGATCGTGTCCAAACTTGACGTTGTAGCATTTTCCATATTTGGGATGAGAGAAGGTGCATGGCGCATAGAAATCTGCATAGCCTTCGAGGGCAACATTGCAGAAATCTACGTACGCGTCGTCAAGAAGTCTCACAGGGGTTCCTGTAGATTGTCAATACTACTTTAAAGACCAGAGAGAGAGATATCGCTACTTACCCAGAATGTTCTGGCGAACTGAGTCGAGCATAATGCAAGACGATATCATCGGCACCATGTTTTCGAAGATCTGTTGCGTTCCGCCGCCATTCTGCGAAATTTTTGTCGAATTATTACCAATGGAGATCGCCAAGTTCAAGATGTTGCCACTGAAGTCTTGTGGAATGGGGTTGTGTTTCAACGCTTCTTTGACAAAGTCAAAAGGAGTATCCAGATCGCGGGAAAAATGATCGTAAGCAGCGTGGAGGTAGACTTGCAACTTGTCTGCAGTGGCCAGCATCCGAACACGCTTCTTGGTAAGCAGAGACGCTTGGCATCTTTTGTTGATCAGCTCAAAGAGCTTTCCCATCTGATCGTCCATGAGCATGTAGCGACCACGAGATGGAACTCGAATCACGGTGATAGAAGCGTAGTAGCAGTCGAGTAAGTCTTTGGTCGTGTTGATGGTTCGACCAATTGCCTGCCAAAGCCTGGCTTGCTCTTCGAATCGGGGCTCGCGGAAAATCGCTCCACTAATATCATCAAGAAGACGAGCAGTTGCGGTCTCGATATTCCATTCATCATCATCCACGTTGTCAGTTGCATTAAGGACAATGACTGCGTGGGGAAGAGCCGGTTGGTTCAGCGATTTGTCGATCGAAGCCGAGCCCCATTCCAAAAGTTTGTCGAGGACGGTAGATTCAAAAGCCCTATATCAATTCATGAGCGTATTCCTTAAGAAGGAGTATAGGAAAGTTTACCTAGGGTTTCTCAAGACGAAGACAACCACATCTGAGAAGGTGTAGAGTAGTCTGGGATAGAGCTGCGTGACTGCGTACTCTCTTTTCTTCGTTTCTGGGGTGACTGCCCATTCGAGGTCCCGCTGAGATGCATAGCGCGACTTTCCGAACTTACGTTTCGAGGATGTATCAATGACACCCGAAGAACGGCTAGCAGTTGATGGCTTCGGCGATCTGCCTAGACCAGTCTTGCCCATGACATTTGTGACATCGTTAAGGATCCCCAGAGCCTCCTCTTTCCCTTTTGTGCGATGTCGCAGACCTGCCGGTACAGCTTCCCCACCATCCAAGCCCTCGCAGTCTGCGTATAACACAGGCGCTTGGGTATTGTAAGACATCGGATCAGCATACAGGTGGACGTCGCCAGTCGTCGGAAGGCGGTCGTTGTTGGACGAGGTAACGGGCGACGGATACTTTGCCCCGCGGTCAAGCATAGCAAGCCGATCAATCAGCATTTTGATTAACGTGCTTTTCCCAGCCCCTAAGGATCATCAGTAAAATATGTTAATAAGAACAGAACTTCGAGAGTACTAGCCTGTTTGTCCAATGAAGGACACGAGCTGAGGATAGCGGTTCCCATGGTCTGAGGATAGGTTATCGCTCATCAACGTGGCGAATCGACCATAATCCTGCAATATGGGTTGGTTGGATGAGTCTCGACCAACTCCAAACCATGTGGTATCCTCATCCGATTGGAATTCGAGTTCGTGCTCTGTCGCCGAGCGGGTGGGCTCCAGGATCTCCCGCAATCTCTGGACAACTTGGGGATTGGACTTCTCGTGCGGTCGACCATCCCAACCGACGGCGCCCGGCTCGTGAAGCTCCCATTCGGACCAGCAATCATCACAAAATGCTAGATTGTTGCATTGAATACAGGTGAAAAGCTTCTTGGTCGTAGCGCGACACTTGTGGCAGATTGCCGAGCGTGCTTTGCGAGCTGTGTCTGTCATGGTGCCTAGTGCGCTGCAGTCTCCAAGGACTGAATGGCCTTGTCGAAGGAAACAAAGAAGAATGAGAGGCCCGGATTGACATAAAGAGGGAACTCAGGAACATCCCTTCCGCAACCTCGAGACTTGAAGTAAGGCTGTGAGGCAACCGGCCGCGGGCATTCTCGCGCCTGCTGCAATATTGCAGCCACCAGTGCCTCTGGGTCAGCAAAAGAGGGCTAATACTAGACTGATTGGAAGCCGTGAGGCTTTCTTGTCTTGGATGCTGAAAGCGTTACCCAATAGTGTTGAGCTGATAGACTCAGCCCACCATCTTTCAGAGTTGTGGCGTCTTCAGCAGGAGTGGTTCGAACTTCGAACCCTCGTCGGCGCGTCACTACAGTATGCATGTAAGATTCAGCTCGTGCGGAAACCCAGCCTGATGTTCATCTCTTGGTAATCAAGTTCAAATCTGGCGTTCTGGAAATTGTTATGAACTCTCCCTTCCGTACCAATTCGTACACATTGGAATGACGTAACGAGCCCAATTGCTTAGTCGTATGTCCGCGGCCTTGCTGTTACCTTCCGCCACACTGATTGAATACCGATTGAATACCGAGTTACACGGAATATAAAGGGCTGAAGATCGACACTCACAGCTCACATTCTATGTACGTGCACTAAGAAATGAACACGAGCGTTTCGTAGCTGTACCCAGACATGAGAACTATCCTACTCTGCGAAAGTGGATATACACAGCTGTACTTGCTCACGCCAACGAATGCACGTACGTTTGGAGGGGATTGACTTGATTTGAAAGGTAATTCGCCGGAGATCTTCAATTGTTTCCCGAGTTAAAGGGGTACCTCGCAGCTTCATTTCTTGACCTACTTACCTACATGTACTGGTAAGAGGAAAGCTCTTTGTACGTACCTTCATCACCAATCCGTGCCGTGATGCCTTGAATAGCGTGAGTGTGTTTCCCCTTATGTACCATCTGCAAAAAGCTTCTTGCATATCATTGAAGACCCTTCAGAGCTAAATTCATCCTTCTGGAAAACTCCAGGTAGCGGTCCCAGTCCGTTCCTTGGTCGCTACCGATCGGCAGTGAGGATCCAACGAAGCTACCGACCCCAGCTCCGCCCAGAGATTCTTCAATCTCCCAGTATTTCCCGCCGTCGATGAAAATAACCTCTCCATTTCTGTTGTTGTCATTCATGAGTAAAGCAGCCGATAGAGCCACATGTTCAGGCGTATTCAGAGCGAGTCCCGTGAGAGACACCATCTCCTCGTTGACAATACCGGACTTAGTCCAGTTTGGAGCGAGAGAATTGAGTCTGATGGGAACAGGGAGCTCTTCTAGATGCGGAATAAGACTGCGCATAAGACCAAGCACAGCATGCTTAGACGTGGCTAGTGTGATTGGTTGTATCAGTATTGCGAACGAAATTGGAAGTATTCTCGAGTCAACATTATCCTTGTTGCAAGGCAAACGAAGATGTTGCCTGGCCGCAGAGGTAAGATCATGAAGAGAATGACACTTACTATAATCAACAGCTTTGAATCTTGACCAAGAGCTGACAGATGCAGTGAGAACAATGCTGCCTCCGGTCTCCTGTTTGCGCATGTGGTGAACAGCGAGCTTGACTGTTGAAATGACGCTAAAAAGGTTCGTCTCGACGCAACTCAGGTCTGGTGCCTTCAACTCTCCATCAGTAGGATCGATCTCGTCGTCGATAAACCGGGTCCGGGCTCCAACTCCTAATACCACCGTTGTCAGCCCTCGTGTTCATAGAGAATACAGAATATTTCTTTGTCTTGCCCTCAATCCACCGGGTTCAATGAAGCTTCTGGCTAGATTGCAGTAGCAGCGGCTTCAATGACTTCACAGTTAAGTGGTCATGGCAATTTCAAGGACAAGCTAAAGATATCTCCAGGTGGGCATGTTTACCGGCATTCGCGAAGACAGCGTCAATGCGGCCTTCTCGCTCTGCGGTTCGCGCAAAAACGCCACGAAGAGCTTGCCAATCGCAAACATTGCACGGCTCGAAGGTTAGACGAGACTCCACTGGAGACGGATCGCCAGGCTCCGAAGCTTTGGGAAGACTTAGATCGACATTGGTAACTCGCGCACCCAGAGAGAGAAGAAGGTTGACCGTTCCCAGGCCGATACCCGAGGATCCGCCTGATGATTGCTTGGTCAGCATGTATCTTCCTCAAACAGATGCTGATATGATAATTCGAGTCTTTGGCTGGTTGCACCATCATGTAGTTCAACCTCAGAAAAGAATACAAGACAGTCGCGAGGTGTGCATACCTGTCACTAAGACAACCTTGTCTTTGAGACCGACGAGGTCTTTTTCGTTGATCTCGAAGCGCGACATTGATCCGATATAACGTTGAGTTGGTCAGCTTTATTTCGGTTAATTAGTCTTCTGTGGAAGATGGTTTGGTGTTTTGTATGTCCTCAGACCTCGCTTCATATTACCGCCTTGGGCGTTTTATACAAATGCACCTGATATCATTGCGCTTAAAGAACTCCGTCGGCGAATATGGGAAGACCGGATGATTGTCACAGAAACCTTGTTTCATCCCGTCCGCGGCCTGCCGAGGTGCCTGTCCACCCCGCACACCCCGCTTCCTCGAGATCTCGCCACTGAATCCAGAGACTAAGTAGCTGTCAATAATAAAATTGAGTTTGTAACCACTATCATTGGTGGGCAAGAATGCTACGATGTTTTCCGAAGCGGGTGGTGGCAGAATCACCGGACCCTTTGGGCCTTCGGGGAGATTGGAATGCAGGAGATAACAACCACTTGCCCTCTCGTCTCTTCATCACTTCCTGCTTTGATAAGTTCCTACAAATTTGTAGATTGCTTCTATATCTTCTGGTTCAAGATACTAGACGTAAGGGTACATGTAGACTTCTGACTTCGTTGTTCAAGCTGGAAGATCAATAGGCTCAGATTGGAAGGAACCTGCAAACCATACGAGAGGACGACGCTGGAATCGTACTCTTTGGGTTCAGACATTAAGAAGTAGTTCCTATGCTTAAGGTTGCCAGAAAAAATCAAGTTTGGTCTGTATAATATTAATGTTGGCTGCTGAAGCCCTCAAGCGTGCGCTCCTCGTCTAACAGCACTCGGTGGCACAAGGGAAATGATTTTCATACGAATAAAGCTAGATTTGCTTATCCTTTTGCTATGTGCGTGCCGCTACCAAGGACATTGCCATTGCTATCCTTCACCTCGCACGTCTTGGGCGCGTCGCCAAGGTCTGACTTGCAGTGGAAAACTTGTCCAGTGTCCCAGCAGTCGCCCTCGATGGTGAACGTACGGCCGTCTCCAGTGTTGTAACAGGGAGAGTGATCGTTGGGGTAAGCTTGATCGTAGACAGCCTCACCGGCGTCGTTGATGATGGCAAAGCCGGTGTAGCCGCCATTGGTGCCAGATCCGCTGGGGCCACCAATAGCGCCGTAGGCGCCGGACGGCCAGCCAACTCGAAGGTGCTCGGCGTACGCAGATGTTAAGATGCCCAATATTTCGAAGAACACGAAACGGACGGAGGAACACATGATGTCCATCTTTGGTAATATCGTTCAAAGATGTGACACTGTCTTAATGTCAAAGCTAGTGTGAAGTTGGCGCGTTGGGTCTTAAGACGTCTCTTTTCCGAAGAGATTTGAAGTGTGATGTGGTCGTTGTAATTGTTCCATTTCCGTGGTCTTGATACGAGATGTTTATACTAGTCTTTATTGTCTCATGAGGTATATATGGACATCATAACCTCCAATTTCCTAGGCATCCTCAATCCGCATTAGTCTGATGTGATAGCATCCAAACTTTTGACCAAGTCGTGTATCGCATCTTGGTTCATATGTGTAAAATAAGCAGGCCAAACTATTTTGTATCTACTCAAGGATTGTCTTCCTCGCAGAAGGTGAGAATAATCGTTTCTCTTGCTAACTCCTGTGGGCCGAATTTGGAGCAAGTTGGTCGTTTATCCTCCGATTTCTCAGGCTTTGACACGGATTGAGTCATTGGCTCAACTCAATAAGGTTGCTTAAAACGGGTTCAGCATAGATTTGTCGAAGCCTAGCTGAAGCCTTGCTAATGCTAGCTCCACAACTTCCCACTTCTTAACACTTCATGGTGTAGATCATCTTAAATACTGCTCAGCTGAGAGGCCGAAGATGGGTTGGCGAAGCCCCCCATTCAATCGATCGACACCGGCACAAGTCTCACCCTAGACAAAGTTGAAGTCCGACAAAATGCGTATGCCGCACTGCCGGATGTTAACATTCGGTGCAGTTTCAGGTTTTGGCTTTAGACTGAGGTCAGTTTCCGCTCGCATTTTGAACATCGCCGTCTCTAAGAGTCCGCGCCCATTGACGCTATCGGCAGCTATTACTACGATCATTTCACTTGTTCCAACCATTGGTTCCGAACCCTCTGCAGGAAGTTCGGATGAGAGACGCACTCACGCTCTACTCTATTGAGATTATTTTCAGACAGGCTGGGAAATAATTCCCGTCACAGAGACATTGAAAGCGTAAGATCTCGACAGGGTAGTTACTTGGGAATCTACTTGAAGTGCCTTGTTTTCGCTCGTTTGGTGAATGGATGCCATTGAATCTCCAAACTGGAGAATATCGAGACTGGGGTTCGGACACGGGTCATAGTCTCCTCATGTTTCTGGGAGTCTAATTAGTTCACCACCAATCTTTGCACAAATCGAATTGAGGGAGTGGAACTCATGAAGCGCCTGGCTTTGATTAAACTCCGGGTTTGAGGTTCCAGATTCTCTCTTTCTCGACCTGAGTTCCGAACACATTACACTCACAAGCAATCACTTTCCCATCTACTTCTCCCCGTGTTCACTGAGATAGCTGCGTGAAGCTATGTCATAGCTTGAGCAGTTAGGTGACAACAGATCATGAAGATACGATAGACGAGGAAAAATTGACTAAAGTTTGAGGCCTCCATTATCCCCTTAGGTGATCAAATACAAAAGAAATCGATTACTTCGTCACAATGGCGTTGAGAGCCTATTGCAACTAACGGCGTCGTTTTCGCCAAACTAGGTACCTTACCTTATACATCATAATTAGAAGAGCTTTATTCTAACACCTCTCATTTTAACTTCCTGCTTCCTCAATGTTGGGAACAACTATGGCGAAAGTAGATAATTGCAGTTGCTGTTCGGACAACTGCATTGTCTACTTGAATCCCTCACAGTAAGTCTATCCTTGAGCGTCCATTCGTATATGTTCGATTTTGTGCGACCAGGTTTCCAGTGAAGCACAAGGCACTCATCCGAAAGTCAATCGCCTACAAGAAGGTAGCCGCATGCTGAGCAAGGATGTGCACTAGTTTGTAAAGTAACAGCTTATAGTGCTTTTTCGTACAACGTTCTGCTAGAACTGATATTAATTGCCAAGCCTTTCCACAAAACTCCATTCGACGGATGAGTATTGGAAGAGCCTTCCTCACAATGTTGAAGATTCTCGTACTCGGATCCGAACTACCTAGCTGGGTGATTACTAATTCGGGCTCCTTTGCTTGTCCGACACAGTCCCACGCACATACGACGTTGTTTGGTCGTACACCTCAACCGACAGCTGAACTCTATCATGGCAGGGCCCAAGCGAGGCCCCAATCAAGCATGTCTAAGCTCATGACTAACACATCCGGACTCTAACACTGACCCGTCCGGTCCGTCTTGTCGCCTTTGCTCCACCTCGACTCCGCGGAATTCGGGACGTTCGGTCGAATGAAAGGAGGAGGATAGCCCCGTTGGTGATGCACAAGCGGGACGGGTGCTGATCAACTGCATGCCGGGTGGGACAAAGTTCCACTCATGATGGCACGGAACCTCGAAACCTTACACTACACAGACAGGCCTTGCCCAATTCCGGTGCGGGGATGCTATCAATGCCGTGTCTTTTGTATGCTGGTGCCCCAGTCATCTCAAGTTTATAATGTCGTCGACCTGTTCATCTCTTTGCTGTAGGAGACAAATCGTTACCGTATCCAACCTTCATTCACCATGGCCCATGCATTCGGAAACTTGCCCAGCGGAGTCGTAAAGGCTCCGGAGAAGTTCACTCTCAATGTGCCGGACCAGAGCGTGGATGAGTTCCAGCAGCTACTCAAGCTATCAAAGATCGGACCGGAGACATGGTACAACAAGCAAGAAGACGGCCAATTCGGAGTATCTCGCAAATGGCTCATTGACGCCAAAGAAGCCTGGTTGAACTTTGACTGGCGCAAACAAGAGGCTCGCATCAACTCCGTACCTAACTTCAAAGCTAAAGTCGAGGATGCGGATCTTGGAACGTTGGACATCCACTTCGCCGCGCTGTTCTCCAACAAGAAGGACGCAACACCAGTTATCTTCATGCATGGCTGGCCCGGCTCTTTCCTCGAGTTCTTCCCCATGATCGATTTGCTTGTGAGCAAGTACACCCCCGATACACTGCCGTACCATGTCATCGTGCCGTCTCTCCCGGGCTATGGACTCTCTGCTGGCTCGATTCCGCTTGAGAAAGAGACTCAACAAGAGGCTGTCGCGCGCAGTCTGCATCAGCTGATGCTTGATCTTGGGTTCGGCAGCGGGTATGCTGCTCAAGGCGGTGACGTAGGAAGTTTCATGGCTAGAATTATGTCTGGCTACAAGGAGTGCAAGGCATTTCACTGTGAGTAAAACCAACAACATCACGGGAAGCCCAGGTTAAGGTATTGATAATAATATAGTGAACATGTTGATGCCTACCCCTGAGGATGCTGCTAGTGGCACCGACGGATTGACATCTAAAGAACTGGAACAGACTGGCAGGATGTTGAAATGGCGCTCAACTGGAATGTCGTATGCCCTAGAGCACGGCCTTCGACCAGCAACCATCGGCTTGGTATTGTCAGCGAGTCCGCTGGCGTTGTTGGCTTGGTATGATTTCTTGCCTACAATTATTTCGATTCTTAGGCTTACAGAAAGATTGCAGGATTGGCGAAAAGTACATCGAGTGGGTGGACTCGCGTTACCCGCTTCAGCTGGAGACCATCCTCGAGCTCGTGAGCCTGTACTGGTACACAGACACGTTCCCAAGGAGTATCTACCCGTATCGGCCATTGGCCAAGGCCATGTCTAGTGAAGGCGGTGGCACAACGATTCCTACTTCGAAGGAAACGCCGTTGGGATACTCGTGCTTCCCAGCCGAGATTGGCCTGATGCCAAAGGCGTGGGCAGAAAAGTCATTCCCCAATCTCACGCAGTATCGCACGCATGAGAAGGTAAGATATCAAAGTTCTGTGTTAATGGAGCGACACTGACTGTGTGATCAGGGAGGACATTTTGCGGCGCTTGAGCAGCCAGCATTGTTGCTGCAAGATGTGGAGGATTTCCTGGCTTCTCTCAAAGCCGCTTCCAAGCTCTGACGTAAACCTTAAGGACATCGAAACACATTTGGTACATCTAGTCATAAATTCGTAAACACCGTGAAAGCTACGAAGTACTCAATCATCTGTCCACTTTCTTCCGTGCACCATCCTGCATTTGAAGTCTTGCCTGTAACTTGCTCTTCAATTCGATGCCCTTTCTACTGCTAGCTGGAGCGTCGTGGCTCACTTTGCATGTACATTGACCACATCGACTTGAGGTTGCTTGTGGTTCTTGATAGGGTCGTGGAATTCCGACGGACGGAAATCTTGGACATAGGTAACTTCTCCGTTCGTCCTTGAAACGGGGCTGTATCTCTTTTTCCGTTGCCAAAACCTGTGATAGTCAACCTTGTTAGCGTTGCTCAATCTCTCGGGGCCCCGAAAGTTCAAGTAGGGGCTGGAGCTTGCTGGCGACTTACATGCAGGCACCGACGATAACAGCCATGGCAAGCACACCGGCACCGATGCTGACACCGACAATTGTCTTCTTATTGACACCACCAACATCGCCATCGAGCACGCCAGGAGGGTTTGTGCTGGTGGCGGATGCACTTGGGCTCGGCGTGAACTCCTTCGGAGCACCACTGCTCGAGATCAAGGACTGCGCATTCGATCCGAAGCTGACTACGTCTTGGACAACAGCCTTCGTTGCCACCGGGAAGACCGCTTCAACCCCTGATGCGACGGCCGTGATTAATGTCTCTGTGGCGACAAACTTTCGCAGAGTCTGAAGTTGCGGCGGACAGTTGATCAATCCAATAGTTACGCATTCTATACCAGTATACGTCACCTTCTTACTCAGCGTCGTCGTGGTAAGCTCCTCTTGACGCTTCTCCTTATCAGTCGCACTGGCAGAGACACTGGTCGCTGTTGTAGTCGGAACACGCGTGCCGGCACAAGCGTCTCCGAGCGTGGTGTAGAATAGTGGAATCTGGGTGTTTGGTACCGGACCCCAGATGCGGTCACCGATCTGGACCGAAGCGCCGGCCGCAGCACCAAGTGCAAACTGGTACGCGTTGACGGCTCGCAAGACGCAACCGTTCTCGTCTGGAGTCGACAGGGCCGTGACGTTGGTGCTCAACTCAGCAATATTTGCAAATACGCTGACCTCTATCCCGGCTGAGGCACCTGGGACCTTGATAGTGTTGTTGAAGAGTTCAATTTCCTTGCTGTCGACAGGAGACGAGATCTCAATGCCGGCACTGAAGCCTGCGCGGAGGATGGCCTTGAGCTCTACGCCGGCGCTCTCAATGATGACGGGGAGGAATTCGAATCGACCACCCTTGCTAAAGTCATTGGATCAGCGACGGGGTGATTAATGTGAAACAAGGAGAAACTCACAAGTTGACACTGGAAACATTCTTCGAAAAGAGTGCGATATCAAAGCCGACTTCATCGTCCATCCGAAGGTGGAAGCCGCTACTCATCTGAAGCTCACTCTCAACACTCAAGATTAGGTCGATGGAAAACACAACGCCCAGAAGCAAGTCGTCTCCAATCTTTGAGCCTAGGGGTGTAGTTGATGTGTAGAGGTTGAGCGTGTACGACAAGCCAGCTGACAGGGTGGTATCAAGCTGCATGTAAATCTCCAAATCTTCAAACCCAAAGCCTAGGCCCGCCTCAGGGAATGAAGGCACATCGAGGTCAAATGTAATGTTCAACGGTGGAAAATCAAAGTCATTAGCATCTAGGCCGTCAGACAAGTTATCAACCACTCCGGAAACGTAGTTCTTTGCGTAAGTGGTGATGTTGTCAAAAGTCTCTTCAAACTCGTTTCCAATGTCAGTTGCGACCTTCGTTGCGTTGAAAGTGCCGTCGATCGTGAGGTGAGCACTGGCTTTGCCTTTGATGTAGCACTTGGTGCACACTACTTCAATGCCCGCACTCGCTGTAACGTTGGCACCAGCCTCAGCCTCTTGCTCACTATGGTTGAGACTGTTAGTGTGGTGCACCCGATGAGTTGCTTGCTTGAAGTGTAATTACTTACTACTTGAAGAGGATTGCATTGTCAAACCCAGTGTCAAGTAAAGTACTGTTACTGAACTTGGTTTCTCTTCCCTCAAGCCTCGCGCTAGAGAGATACCGTCGGATGGCTAGCAGTGTGTTGGAAGCTATCTTGCCAGGGTTGCTTCGCACCACCAGACCTACCGGGGCTGCATGTTGGCTAGCGGCAACAAGCCAACAGACAGCAAGTGTCCAAAAAAGAATTGGTGTGAGTTGTGGCAACATTGTGTACACTTCACTGGGTTTTGACAGTGAGAGGACGAAGAGAGGAGTTTACTTGTTTCTCGAGGTTGAACTCCATGGAGAAGGCGTGGAAATGATGCTTAATTTGACTATTTTGCCATCCCCGGTCTTATGGTTTGATGTGCAAAGGGGTACATACTCCCGACAGAGCTTCACGAGCCTGATTCCCAAAATGTGAAGTTTGTTGGTTCAACCCATGCAGTTCGCCGGTCGGCGCAGTAGCAGAACCCCGGCTTGATTCATGTCTCGGCCGGACGCAGGGGGGCAACTTGGTGCTGCGATGGCTGCATGACTGGGGTCACAATCTCCTTGGACATTCCAGAATGTCACAGCCTTCTTCCAGGCGGCGACGGGTTGCAGCCAATATTGGGTTAATCACAGCTAACTTCTAGTCGGCGACTCATCGTCTTCGCAAGGCGTGGAGCGATGGGCAAGATTATAACAAGCTGACAATCGAAGCTAGGGCGCCAACGAGAACATAAGATGCTCCTGGTATTGGCATTCCTGTGAAGAATCTAGAGCTATCGTTCTATTGAAGAAAAAGACCCTCGTAGGGACGTCAGATTTGAAACGTGAAGTGGTGATAGGCAACAGTATCTCGAGTCAGGTTGGTTCGTCGCATCCTGCATGTCGTGACCACACTATTTTGTGTTCGACAAGGCTAAGAAGAGTGGCTTGCTGCACTAAAACCGCATGAGGGGCACACCACGGTAGCACCCCCACTGGCCACATGGGATCACTGCAGGAGCATTCAGCCGAATCTTTTTTTAACCTTTCTCAACACCATCACCGATGCCAAATTGGAGGGAACAAGACATCAAAAACGCGGAAAAAGACGTGTCCACGCAAAGCCGCCAAAGCCTGGGGCATCCCCTACACCACCCTCTACCACCGGCTCACGCCCGGCAGGAAGACATGCAGAGAGGCCAAGCAGGCGTACCAACGACTCAGCGTATCCCAGGAGAGGTCTCTGGCTGCCTGGGCCATTTCGCAGGCGGAGCTGGGATTCCCCGTCACCCGTCCTCAGGTCAAGGAGTTTGTGTTGAAGGTGCTCGCCGCGCATGGTGACACCCACGGGCTGCAAGAGGTAGATTGAGCTCTTTTTGGGACGGTATCCTACTATCACGGTGAAGTCACTGAGGAACGATGGGAATAGGTATAAGAAGGGAAAGGTAGCAGAGACACAGGAAACGGGAGAGGCAGAGGCCGGAGCAGGGATAGAAGCTAGAGCAGCGGCACAGGATGGGGCAGGGGAAGGAGCTGGAATGATGACAGAACTTGGAGAAACGACAGAAGCTGGAGGGGTGACGGGAAGTCAGGCAGAGGTGGAGGATGAATCAGTGGTAGAAGCTGGAGCAGGGACAGACGTCGAGGCCGAGGCCGAGGTGGATGAAGTGGACATGGAGACCCCAGCCGGCCAGAATAACAACGAAGACATGGAGACGTGGGAGCCGTGACGGCCCCCACGTTGTGTTGGTTGTTTGATTGTAGCCTACTACAACGATCGCTTCGCATTTCAAGGGTCGCACGTATGCAGCTCCATGTTTCAGGCACGTTTACTGCAGGTTTGGTGGTGGCTCATGAGTCGCGACCAACGCGACCAACTGCATGGGAAGCGGGCTGTGATTATCGGTGTTGGAACAGCATTTGGTTTTCGCACGAAGTTGTCTTGATCTCGCCAGCAACGGGGTCAATAATTTACTGACTGATAGCAAAATAGCCATTTTAACTTCATTGGCTCTAAATGCCGGGCTTCTAAATAAAGGCTTGTACAGATATCATGATGCAGCAACAGCTTTCGAGTTGCTCGGGAGGTCGAACACCTTGCCAGGATTCATAATCCATCTAACAAATAGTCAGCATGGCGCAAGCGTAGCGTTCGGACCGTCAATAGACTTACTTTGGATCCACTGCCTGCTTCAACGTCCTCATGAAATCAATAGCATCAACGCCGAGCTCATCAACAAGACAATCTTTCTTCCCGATGCCGATGGCATGTTCTCCCTACAGATAGAGTCAGCAGGGCAGTTACCAAATCTTTCATCGTCGCAGAGAAAGATTACTCACTGAGACAGTACCCTCCATCTCCAATGCTCTGCCCATCATATCATGAACACACTTGGCAACCGAAGCCCGCTGCTCCTCGTTCTTCGGGTCATACATGACCGCCTGGTGGAAATTGCCGTCTCCAACATGTCCAATGACGCTCGCAAAGAGACCGAGCTTTCCAGAGTCTTCTTTCGACAATGCTGTAGACCGTTTTTGATTAGCGGATGTGTCTCGAGACTAAGTACAAAACGTTGGCAGATTTTCCAAGGCTTACTGATTATCTCGGCCAATCTCGAGATCGGCACAGCCACATCCGTAGACCAGAGAGAGTACCCCTCTGGCTTGATCGACGTCATTGTCCAAAGAGCTTCCTTTCTCGCGGCCCATAGATCGGCTTCTTCCTGCTTGTTTCTGGCGAAGAAGACCTTGCGGGGCTTAAACGGCTGCACAATCTCTTTGACCCTGGCAACATCCCCCTTGATACCATCGGTGGTCCCGGCGAACCTCAATAACCAAAGTCAGCACTAGCAGAAGAAGATAGAGCATAAAGTGACAGCTCACTTCAAAAACAACGTCGGACTCTCATCCCACGCAGTCTTCCTAACAGCCTCACTCCCATGCCGATTAATTACCTCCATCTGCACCTCATCCAAAAACTCCAACGCCCCAAGCGGCACCCCGCTCCGAATCAACCCCGTCGCCGCCCTCGCCGCCTCCTCAATCGTTCCAAACGACACCACGGCGACACTCGTATCCGCCGGCGCGACAGCCAGCTTCACAGTCGCCTCCGTCACGATCCCCAACGTGCCCTCGGCGCCAACAAACAGGCTCGTAAGGTTATACCCGGCCGAGTTCTTGCGCGGCCGCCGACGCGTCTTAATGATGCGCCCATCGGCGAGGACGACGGTCAGGTTGACGACCCAGTCCTTCATCGTGCCGTAGCGGAAGGCGTTTGTGCCGCTACAGTTTGTTGAGACCATGCCGCCGATGAAGGCTGTGGGGGAAGGGTCAAGCGGGAGGAAGAGGCCTGAGGATTGAATCTCTTTGTTGAGGGTTACCCAGTTTACGCCTGGTTGGACGACGACGTCCATGCTGGGTTTGTGTTAGGACTGGCGGACTCCGTGGTAGAAGGAGGAGGGAAAGTACTCGTCAGGATGGAAAGCAATGATCTTGTCCATGTGCACAAAGTCAATGCAGATTCCGCTGTACGGCGATGAGAAGCTTCCCTCGACGGAAGATCCAGCGCCGAAAGGCACTAGGACTGGTCAGAACTCTGATGATAGTTGCGATAGCTCCAACAACGGAATACTGTGTAACCCCAGATTTGAAGAGGCAACTTACCCATAGGCACATTGTACTTGTTGCAAATCTTGGCTATCTGCGAAACATCCTCAGTGGTCTTGGGGTAGACGATAGCCACAGGGCGACCGCTTGAGTTGGACGTAGACCAGTCAGAGTGGCCATGCACCTCAATCTCATCTTCATCGAAGCTGACCGCCCCTTCATCCAGAGCGTTGGAGATCTCTCGAGCCGCCTTTGAAACCTTTCAGCAAAATATCCTCGCCGTTTGTGGATCTAGAATTTACAGTACCTTTACCATTTCCTTCCGGCTCGCGAAATCCCTATGGGATAGCTTCGCTTGTCCCTCGGCGGCCGGTCCCGAGGTGCTAGATCGGCCGATGAGGTATCCGGCAAAGAGCGGGATGGCGCCGAGAACCAAAAGTTGGATTGGTATGAGTTTACCGCTTCTCTTGGGTCGTGGCCCCGTGTGAGCTGATCGGAAGAACTTGGCTCTTGATGAACTGGTTCCTGTACCAATCGGCCAGGATGGTGCGCGTCTGGCCGTGCCACTCGCCAGAGCGCGACAGCGCATGAGTGCGCGGAACGCCATGAATTCGACTCGTCCTGCTCCGGTGTGATTTCTTAAGTTAACTGAAGGATAGTGTAGTTAGTCAAATGCCCCGTTGATGAGCCGCGATACGGTCCGCCACGAAGAGAGGTTGGAGGGGGCGGGTGCAACGCTCTGATGACGCGTTCCCCCGGACAACTCAAGTTGGAAACCCTCAGATGTGAGCAAATTGCAAAATTTGGAACATGAAAACACATGTATATGAAGGCTTGTCAATTGATTGATGGTATCGAGTCGCAAGACAGCGACGTTGGTGGCCGCGCGCAACGAGTGCCGGAACTACCAAGGGGGGAATCTCCCTCCCCTAGCCCCGGAAACCGGACGAGGATTGGGCCGAGGCAAGCCGCGCGTGCTCATAGTGAGAGCCGGCCATTCAGAGTAGCTCAACGTCTATACGACGTTATCGACCAGTTTTTGTCTATCCGAGGCTTCTTCTCTCGTAAACCAAGTATGACACGTCAAAATTTTTATCTTTCTGAGAGAATGAAGAAGTGTCCGAGCTACAGCATAACATCAGTACTCGTACTACCTCAACTGGGATGAGAATCCGTCGCCAATTCGCTCTAATGAGACGCCGAGGTCATCACGAATAAGTCAGCCAGAATCTCATCAACGGCAGTGACTCACTCACAACCTCACTCACCATCCTATACTCTCTCACCTCACCACGAATCTCACACATTTTACTCCCATAACTCAAAGCGATCATTAATCTCAAACCTCAAAATGCCGCCCTCAACCCCCCTAATCCTTCCAAAATCCCACCCCTCCCCCGCAAAATTCCAAACCCTCCTCGACCGCTACAAATCCCTCCGCCTCTCATCCCTCCTCCTCTCTCCATCCTGCTTCGGCTCAACCCACGCCCGCGAAGTCGCTTTCCCCCCAGAGAAATGGGTTTCCCGCCTCACGAACCCCGGCGCGACAACAATAATCATCTACGAGGATGCGACCTCATCACCGTCTCCCACCGATGAATCCCCTTCCACCTCCTTAGACAAGGCTCTCATCGCAGAATGGCTAGCAACACTAACAATCACCGGCCCCCTCGACTCAGAAACCCTCTCAGCCTCCCTCCTAGACTTTGGTCCACCGCACCAATCCTCACCAGACGTCCCCATATCTCAATACGTCATAAACGGCATGTTCGTAACACCCTCGGCACGAGGAAAACAACTCGGCACCAAGCTACTCGAATTCGCCAAAGCCCATGTCGCTTCAGAAATAGCAACTACTCGCGCAGAAGGGAAGGAGAAGGAGAGGGCGCGGATATCACTCATCGTGGACTACGACAATGAACCCGCCCGCAAGACGTATGCGAGGTGCGGATTCGAGATTGTTCGTCGGTATTGGTTTAATGATTACCGTGAGGGAAGGGAACCGAGGACCGAGGCGGCGATTATGACGGTTGACCTTTGATAATCGTTGCATGCGGACCAAAAAGCCCAAATAACTTGCCGTTAGACAGAAATTAATAGCATTCGCTTGGAAAGCAAAAAGGTCGCTCCCGATGACTATAGACGGAGGCAGAGAGCATTACTGTAGATAGATGCACGTCATGTCACAAAATCACTTTATCAGAGGCATTGTGTTTGGTAAGCATCATATTGTTTTTGTACTAGTTCATCAATCCCTGACTTGCCGGAAATCTACCAGTCCGTCGCACCTCTCGGTTACCCACGAGATCCAGATACCTCATTATCATGTCCAAAACAACATCCTCAATAGAGACCCTCGGCAATAGCCAAAACCTTCTGGGCCTTCTCTTCCCCCAACTCCCCCTCGAGCCAAGCAACCGCCTTCTCCTCCAGCATCTCCCAGCTGTCCCGCTCCTCTGGAAGGACCTTGCGCAGGTAGGCAACGACTGCAGAGGTGGACATGACTCCCTCGTCATCAATACTAAGCGAGCGCAGAGCGTTCTTCACCGCCTCCAAAGTAGTGCCAATGATGTTGAAGATTTCCTTCGAAGAGTCCCAACTACCGTTGAAGTTCTGGAGCGATACTATGGCAGAGAACGGATCGGTAGGTGATGAGAAGTTGTCGTATCCCGGTAGCACAATGTTGGGAGAATCTTGGCCCTTTTTGAACTTTTTCTTCTTCATCGACAGGTCAAGAGTAGACTTCACAACAGGAGCAGCGGCTGAAGGAGTCTCATTTTCCCAATCATCATCAGGATCTTCACCAGGGAGGGGCATGCTTGCAGCTTCAGACATCTCCCGGTAGTATTGATCCAGCAGAGCGGCATCAACCTGGGCCGTGGGAGGGGCCAGCGCGGCAGCTTGGACGATGGGAGGCTCTCCGCTGTCAGACCATTGGGGAGCTGCGCTTGAGCTGCCAAAGAGACCTCCATCTTGTGGAACGGAGGATGTAGACTTGTCACTGGCAGACCGATGAGAAGCGCTACCAAACAGACCTCCAGTCGGGGGCACGGACGAGACAGAATTGGCAGCCATGGGTTGACCAAACAAACCTCCACCAGATCCAGTTCCACCAAACAGAGATCCTCCGGCTTGCCTTGCACTGGCTGGGGATGCGCCGAATGCATCAGTGGTAGAAGAACGTGAGCCAAACGGGCTGGTGGAAGCTGGATTGGGTGGCGCAGAAGCCGTGGGATGTCCGAACAAGCCCCCGCCAGATCCACCAAAGAGTCCAGATCCTCCAGCGGTCGGGGCAGCACCAAAGGCACCAGTGACAGACGAACTTGCACCAAAGAGGCCACCGGCAGCTGAGGTAGACGACGGGGCAGGGGCTACAGGGTGGCCGAATAAGGATCCAGGGGGCTGGTGGAAGGCCGTAGGCGCTGTCGGGCGTTGCTGTTGCTGGGGAGTGGAAGAACCTAATCCGCCGAACAACGAACCGCCGGTGGGTGGTGGAAATGGGTTTGAGGAAGCCGTTGAGGTTGACATACCGAACACCGATGCGCGTGTTGATGATGGGGAAGCGGCGCCGAATAACAGTGATGAGTTTTGACCATCATCAGGAGCTCGGGACCGTGATCGGGAAACCATGCCTCCCCGACCACCTAATCTAGGATCTGGCCCCCTCTGGAGATTCGAGAACAGATTCTGTGCTCCAGGTTTGGCCTGCTCTGGGTTGACCTGCTCTGTATTGGCGGCAGGGATGTTTGGAGTGTCGTTCTGCTCAACAGCAACAAAGGAGCACCATTTGCCTCCTACCTGGAACTGGACGCCAAGTCGGACGGCCTCTCGCTCAACCATGCTGGGGAAACGGCCGGGATTCTGCGCTTCTAGAAGATTGCCATCTTTACCCTTGGCGTGATAGATCCAGCCACGGCCTTCTTCCAGTTCCTTGACAGCCTTGCGAGCGGCGAGCTGATGAATCGTCTCGGCCTTATCGTCAAGCAGGGTGATGGGGATTTGGAGCTCCAAGGGACCCTGGGATGAGGTGCCGCGCAGAACCAGAGCCTCCGGAGTCTTGGATCTCAGCTCTCTGTCGGGAGAAAGCAAGAGATAGACAGTAGTGCGGCTGAAAGGGAAAAGAGGCGGGATCTGGAAGGGGGCTTGAAGGATCTTGGGAGGCTTGACTGTCGGAATGTGTGAGTACCGCTCCAGGCCCGAGCCGTCGTCTTGAGCTTGGGCATCCTCCATGTCAACATCGTCGTCTGCACTGGTGTCAAAGAGGGAAATCGGCTTGGCGGGATTTCCGGGTTCTTTGCCATCGGCTGTCTTCTCGCGAGCCGCATCTTCGGGTTCAATGATATCAAAGTCATCTTCAGGCTCCGTCTCAGACTCGGCATCGGCATATTTGACCTCGAGGGTATAGTCATTGATATGGGGAGTGAGAGCTCCCTTGAGCATACGGACGACTTTGCCAGACATTTTCTCTCCCTCGGAGACAGATTGCGAGAAGCCATTGCCAGCTCGAGCGAGGCCTTCAATGAGAGAGTGGCTGACACCGCTGCCGACACCGAGGGTAAAGAGACGAATGGCGCCCTTGGATTCACTAACCATTCTGTTCACCATGCCGAAGAGGCGATCTTGGTCCCAAACCTCGCCGTCGGTGAGGACGAAAGTCTCAAGATCAAGGTCGATGTGGCGTCGCTTGAAAGTTGACTCGATGGGGTTATAGATCTGGGTGCCTCCGTAGTTGGCGGAAAAGGTGTCAATGTGTCGCATGGCAGTTTCCATGGTGTTCTGGTCATATATGACGGACTTTGGGAACAAGAAATCATGCCTGGAGCCAAAGCTACAGATGTTGAACATGGAACCGACAGGTAGAGATTTCATAAAGACTCTAAGAGCATTCTTGAGATCTTGCATTTTTTTTCCTTCCATAGAACCAGAGCGATCACAGATAAAGACAACTTCGGGCTTGGTGGCGGCAATCTTGAACTTGGGCACAAGGGTGGCCATGAGGGCCTGCTGATGAGGGATGTCGGGGTGCGTCTCGAGAACAGCAACGGGGTTGGAGGTGTTTGTCGCGATGACCTGGACAATGAAGTCGCGTTCCAGTTGAGCAGTGCCTAGAGAGAGGGTGGCACTCGCAAGCTGGAGAGATGGTGTAGCGTTGGCGCGCATAGTGGACGTTGAGCCGATAGAGACAGAAATGGGATGTGAAGGCGACTGGATCGACTTGATGAAGCTTCCAGCCGGCACTTGGGCATCAACTACTATGCGAATACCGTCCTCTGCAGAGACACTGGTGGGCTTGGCCAGTAACTCGCCGGGAAAAGCGCCATATCGCGGGGCAATAGAAGTGGGAATGGTGAACCTGATGCCGTCAACTTCGGCATCGTGCTTCAACTCGCCGAGGTATTCAATCTCGACGGCAATCTGGGCGCCAGCGGGCACGTTGCCAATGGTGGTGGTGAAGACATCGCTCGCATCAGGGAGTTGCTCCAAGAGACCAGCAGTTTGGCCCTTGGAAACAGCTTGGTTGTATGTCTTGCGAGCAGCAGTCTTCTCTTGGACAACGCCACGAATGACACGATCGTTGTTGATGGTGCAGGTAAAAGCGACTACGGACACGCCGTCATAGAGGGGAAAGGTGTAGCGAAGCTCGGGGATGGGTGCCGTCGATGAGGGGTTGACAAAATTTTGGGTGAGAGTTGTCCGAGATGTCGATGCAATGATGCGAGCATGCACCGACTGTGAAAGTGTGGGAAGATATTGCCGCGCATGTTTCTGATGCCGATGGGGGTCGATGTAGTAGAGACCGCAAATGTGTTGATATGTAGGCTGGACCCCAAACAGACCGGGTCCGCCACTGGGGCGGGGTTGACCGAAGAGCATGATGGGATCAGGTACGTCGGGTCGATTTGATGTGGGATGATGAAAAAGACTCATCGGGATGGCTAAGTGGCCGTGGGTAGCAAAAGATTGAGTTGTTTTCTGCTAGCTGTTGGGAACGTCCCGTCTGGTGTTGTTGACTGAGATGCCCCTGGGATGTGTCGTCGTATACCAGGAACGTCTGGATGAATATCCGCAAAAAGGATAGGCGGTGATGAAGCTTGGTGTACAGTTGATATGGATAGGAGTAAAAAGAAGAGGAGACACACAGAGACCAGAGAACCTGAGGATTCTTATATGCATCCATCACCAAAGGCAGGACCGGTCGTTGGCGGCCGCTCCTTCTCGGTCGTTCGTCAAGCGTCACTTAGCGCTGCCAAAGTACCAAAGGCAATTGCAGGCAACAGCTCCCTACCACAAAGGGCCAATCATCGCTCGCTTTGAGACGGGTTGAAAGAATCTGATTGGCCGAGGTGATCAGCTCGAAAGCTGCCTTTGGTAAGCAATTTTGACGCTAGCAGGGGAAGACCGAGACGTACAGGGGCATTCACTGACGTACAGGGGTGTCATCGCCCCATAATCGGCTGCCATCCCCACTTTTGTCCGCCAGAACGTTGTGCGCCGCTGCGTATTCCGCCCCAAGGCTGACTTTCCACCACCACGCAAAGCCAATCAGACCTCTTCTCTGCCACCTGCTTTGTAATGCGCCCTCTCGCATTTTGCTCTTTCAACTTCATCTCTCCCTCTTTCGTCAATATTTCTTTCATTCGCGACCTTTGATTCGCCAATGGCTTCGTCTGGCTGCCCAGGCTCCCAGTTAAGCATAAACCGATGTGGTTGCCTGACAGTTGAATCAAAGGATGACTCATCCAGCGCAGTGATGTGTCTTGCAGCTTGCCCTTGGTGCTCAACAACGCAGCCAAGCAAGAAATGACGCTGCTCGAGACTCTTGGTATCTTCTTTCAAGCACAATCAACCTCAACTGACTCTTGTTGACTCATATTACACTAAATACCATTATCATTACAACAAATCCCGAGCTTTTATCCGCCAAACCCCAGAATATGTCTCTCCAACTCTCCAAAATCCCCCAGGTCTTGTCCCGTCAGGGCTAGATCCTGGTTGTGGTAGATCGAGTTCCAATTATACGCATCTTCGGGCAACAAATCAGCCATCCCTTCCGCTTGCTCAAACGCCTGTGCATCCTCGACTCCTGGGGCGGGCTGCATCCAAAGATACGAGATATCGTTCCACAAACTCGAGTCCAGCAGACTCCGCGATCCCAGTTGGCTCGCCCTGCTACCCCCCGACGGCGTCAGGCCCCCTCTCTCGACCGAACCCCGCATCGTCATATCTCTGAAGCTCTGCTGACGTGCTCTAGCATCCTCACCGGCACCTTTATCCTCTGACGACGTAGACACCGCCATCGTCGCGGGCGACTGCTGCCCACCGCTGGGCCCTGACCCTATAGCCACTGGGGGATGTGAACGAAACTCGCTTGGGCTGTTCTTGGGAATGTCCAGAAACGTCGACAGATGGTCTCGCATTCGCCTGACTTCTCGGGCTCGCTGGAGCGCGAACTCATTGCCGCGGCCTACCAGGTAATCGAGTATCTCTAGTGCCTCTGATAATCCTGGGCTGGGTGCCAATTTCTGGCTCTCCTCGCAGGTCGAGTCGGTCGTCATCGTCAGGATCATGATGAAAGCAGCCGAAAAGATGGCGTCGAGATCGAAGAAGCCAAAGGTTGCTACAACGTGGTCATCCGTCAGTCAAGATCCCAGCAGAGGATTCATGGATCGGGAATCGCTTCGACGTACTTAGAATGTTCCTCTTCCGTAACAGCATCAGGACCTCCAACAGTCGACGGGCCGCTTCTGAACACGTTCGACTCAATCTCCCAAGTGGCGAGGACCCCAAGCTTAGACTTCCTCCACTTTCCTCGTCAAAGATCAGTTTCGAGACGTGGAGCATCACAGGCCGTATCGTCAAGAGAATCGCCTACACGAGTCGTTAGCGATGTCAAGGCACAATGCTGCAGAAATAACCTACCTGATATAGCATCATGTGGAGATACGCCGATGTTCTCAAAGAGACGTCTCCTTCCATGGATGGCATATCAGACAACTTGGGCGAGAACTCGCCCGGGATCTCCTTGGCAATCCAGTATAACGACTGGACAATTTCTTGCACGTTTGGAACGAACGTCTCTTCCGGGTGGTTCCCTGGTCCATAAATCGCTGATAGAGTTAGCTCCAACCGTCTGCTTCGAACACGACAGCCATCTTACTTGATAGGATTTTTCCGGTAACCTTTGCGATTTTAATATTGGTTCGCAGAGGAAGCGCCGGTGGGAAACCTGGGGAGTCCGTCGGCATATCGATTTCGATAACATCGTCCAGAATCCCGGCAGGATTGCCAGTTGCTGCCGCCAGTCGTCTACACACTGCGTCAGCTCATCCTCCATCGGTTCCTCGGCGCCTCGTTCCTCACCTCTCTTGCATATACACAGTCCACCAGAGACGGTTCAAATGCACCTTCTCCGACTGTAACAAGTGTTGCGTCCCCGACTTGCGATGATACCCATGCGTTGTCGCCAGTCGAAGGGCTGAGCTGATCTACGCAGTTTAGTATCCTCATAACAAACAAAGAAGACAGGGACAACTCACATAAAGATATGCCTCCTCTTTCCGATTCGCATTCTGCAAATACACCGCCGCCAAAGCATGAATCTCGATCCCCAGTTTGCCCAGCCCGTACAGCTCGCTCAAGCTCGGCAACCGAGCCTGCACGTGCGCAAACATGCTCGCCCCGGGAACCGGCGAGCCCCCGCCCTTCTCCTCCCCATCGAAGCCGCCCGAGAACAGCTTTCCAATGGCAAAAACAAGTAGCATCTCTAGATACCACGGCATCTGCGCCTGTGATACAGCCTGTGATGTATCACCCAAGTTCGCGTAGAAGAAGGCGAGGCGGTCCGAGAACTCGCGCGTGTCAATGTGGTGCTGTGTATACCCGATGAAGAAGGTCATGCTCTCGAAGAGACGGCGGGCTTCGTCTTCCGAGGGCAGGGTGATGCCTCCAACGCCGGCGGGGCCATCGTCGAGGGGCTTTAGGGTCGTCGTTTGGGAGAGGGAGCGGGCGGGTGGTTGCATTGGTTCTCGGCGGCCTAGACGCGGATGCTCCAAGAGGTTTTGCAGTCGTGAGCCAAAGGTGTGGCTTGAGCTCAGCGACGAGTCGGCCGCGATGGCTGGTGAGTTTCGTTAGCACACGAACCAAGGCTATATGCGAGGCGAAGCATCGGACTCACCGGAGCCAGGAGATGATGCAACATGGTTGTTACCATGGCCTCCAGATGTTGGATTGGTCGGCGTCGGTGACGTGAGTTGATCTAGGGCCAATCCCAGAAGCGTCGAGGCAGCATTTACCTGCGTGGCGTTATCCGTGGGTGTCTGCGCCGTTGCCCTCGTCGGTGGCCGGTCTGGCGACGCTCCTTGAGTGGTCTGAACTCTGATAGTCTCATTGTCTCGAGCTACAACTCCGTCAATACTGCCAACTGGGAGGTATCGATACAGCGTCACTTACATAGCGTCGGTCCGAGACCAAACCCCTGGCCTTCATACCGCGCCAGCCTCTCCTGGAGATCTTGAATCCTCCTATAGAGATCCGTCAGCCCACAGAAGTGCATGTGCATAGACATACGCTACACTTTAGGTATCAATGAACCTACGTAACAGAATAGACCCGCTTCTTCCCCGGTTCGGGGAACTGACACTCCAGATCCCGCTTGCTGCAATACGTGCACGGCGCCTCGCCGGAGCACTTTACCTTCTTCCGTCTGCACGTAAGACATCTGCCGGAGACCCCAATACGTCAGTGACCAACAATCGAACAACTTCATGCATGCATGCAAAGCCTGGAAAAACAGATGGAAACAATGGGTCTCGACGGTCCAGGCTCACGCAATGTGGTGCTCCCGAGGTGATCGAGACCGGGTGCGCGGACGGGCACGGGGGGTGGAAGGGGCCTCGGAGACTCACGCCGAAATGGTCTTGGCCGCTTCGCGGCTTACGCCGTGTCTGCTGCTCATTGACAGGCGCCTCGGTGACACATGGGATCCCGAATCCATGATTTTTCTAATGTTACAGAATGAAACGTATTCATGCAGCGCGGTTGATGATGTCTGACCGAATTGTGCCTGGCTATGGTTGTTGCCCCCGAAGTCTTGGGGGCTGGATGTCGGGCAAGTGTGGTGAGGGGAGATACGCGGAGGTGGAGGGGACGGGAGATAAGGGACGCTTCGCCGAACCTCGGAGCGGGGAGTGGCACGCCGGTACTAAGGCTTATCGTCCTATCGCTGCCAACAATTGGCTTCCCTCTTCGTATCGATTCAAAGTTGATTTAGTCATGTTGTAAAGCTCATTCCAAATTCGATCTTGGAGATACAATACGAAGACGCAAATCATTTGGTCACTTTCTTACTTTGGCGATTATGTCCTAAGTAATGGCTACTTATAGATCGAACCTAGGAGACTTCAAGTTGCAATGAACCTATCTCAACTCATCCGCTTGAACCAGCGGGATGGCAGAGCCCCCGTCAACATCGCCACACAGGGCAAGCCTTTTGCTGTCTTGAAAGTAAATCAAAGACGAACATTCGTTCAGAGGATTGAGTTTCTACCGTCAAGGGCATGTAGCGCTTTAAATACACAATCGAGGGCCGTAGGCGCGGGGCCGAGATGCCGAGGGGACTATCCGGAGCTATGCCTAGTTAGGTAATTAGCCGAATCAAAACAAAGGCAACGGCAACGAACCTTTGACTCTTCAACTGCATCAACTAACCAAAAGATGGCCTATTAGAGAGTAACCTTTGCGTCCAAATTTGGAGATGTGATGAAGGAGAAGGGAGTTTTGGGGCCGTTGGCTAGAATTGAGTCAGTTCTTTGCACATTGAGCTCATGAGAGACCTCGCTAGCGAGCATATTTTGGTGTTGACGCGAGGGCAAACTCAAAGGTTTATATTGACGGAACCATAATCCGTTTCCTCATCGGCTCTGAACGTCATGATCGATAGATATCACAACTAGTCTGCGACTCTCAAACTCAATCAGCCAGCCATGGGCTCAAATCCGCCAACAACCGACACCTCTCTCCCCGTCCATCTTCCCACCTATCCCCATCAACGACCTTTAACACAGCCGCCAGCGGCGGACTGCCGGCATCCCCAGGCGCATAGCTGGTAATATTCAAACTCACCATGCCATCAAACGAGGACACCTTACCAACCGGTACACCGCCAGTCATATTCGCATTCAACATACTCGCAACGCCCCTCCCACCCTCCTTCCACTGCGCCCACACCGTCGCGTTTCCTCCAGCCTCGCCACCAAGAACCAACCCCTCCCCGCGCGTGATAAACTGCCCCCAAGCATTCTGCAACCCCAGCCGCAAAGGCGTCGTGACCGCCGTCCCAGGCGTATCCACCGGCGCAAGCAACACATCAACAGCCGACCCAGAACCAATATCAACGCCGTGGTACGCCGGCGGAACACTATACTGATACCGCCACGCTCTCGCCCCATCCTTGGCGGCGTACGCGTTCGCGAGCCAGTGCGAGGGACACACGAACGTCGCTTCAGCATAGAAGTTGTTGGCGACCTGCTGCCAGCCCGTAGCGTAGTCTGACACCGTCGTCGCGTACGGTGATTCGAGACCGTTGGTGCTGAAGCCTGGGTCCGTGTTGTTCGCGTCCTTTGAGTTGGCCGTCAAGAATGCCTCGTGCTTCTGCGCGTACGTCGCGAGGACTTCCGTTACGTTACCCCCCGAGAGCGCGGGGTAGTTGCTCTGCAGGAACGAGACAAAGTGTGCCTGGGTGGTAATGTTCTGCCACGTGAAATACGGTCCTTCGTCCGCGACGTTGCTGGTGAGGACCCGCCGCCCGTTGACGCCGGCTTTCCCCTGAGACAACTCCTGCGTGAGGGTGTCGCTGATGAGTTTGCCGTCGATGACGGGCCGCCATTCCCATTGGCCGTAGCGGCCTTGGGTGCTTACCCAGTCGCTTGCATTCTGAAGCGTGAGAGAGTCTGCTTTCTGGAGGCAGGAGAGGAGGGATGAGGATGTAGCATTTGTAGAGCAGCCTATACGCTCTGCTAGGCTTTTGTATGCTCTCGTCGGTCTATCGCCGTCGTGTTTTCTGTTGTGACGTGTCAGTTCTTGCTTTACACAAGGACCTCAATAAGGGTGAAGGGGGTCCACTCACGGCAGAGTAGTCAAGTACGGACTGCTCGCAATAACACCATCAAACAATCCAACAGCCTCATCACTCGCAGCCAATAACAATGCCCCTCCCGCACCAGCAGACTGTCCCGCGACCGTCACCCTCCTCGGATCCCCTCCAAACTTGCCCACATGCGTCTTCACCCACCTCAACGCGTGGACCATGTCCCACAACCCAGCATTCGCGACCCCGCCGCCTTTCATAAGCTCCTCCGACGAAAGGAACCCAAACGCGCCCAGACGGTACTGTATCACGACCGCCACATAGCTGTTATTATTCGTCACAATTTGCGAAGAAAAGTCAAACGAGGACGCCGAGTCGAGGTTATACCCGCCGCCGTGGATCCATACCACCACGGGGAGAGGTTTCGGCAGGGCCGTGGCGCCGGCCGGGGCAAAGACGTTGAGGAAGAGACAGTCTTCGTCGCCGGCGAAGGCGAAATTCTGGAGGGCGGCTTCTTCGGCTGCTGTTTTGGGGTATCGGAGGGAGCGGCGGGCCCATGGGCACCGCGGCGGGTTTGCTGTGGCTGGGGTGACGGTGTCGCTGGATGTGTTTGTGCCGCTGGATGTTGGGTCTTGGGGGAGTTTCCAGCGGAGTTCGCCTGTTGGAGGGGCTGCGTAGCGGATTCTGGGGTGAGGTTAGATCGTGAAGGGAGTTGTTGTTTGAGAGGGCTTGTTTGAGAGGGCTTACCCTCTGAATATGTTGAGGTTCAAGGTCGAGTTGAATGTTCCTTGGTATTTGGCATATTTCAGGTCGACTATCGGACCGTCCGCGGCCGAAGCTACGGTTGCCAATAGAGGCACGGCAATGTGGAAGAGTGAATGGACTCTCATTGTCGTAGCTACCCCGATGAGTCTGGACTAGGTAGCGACTGAATAGCCTAATGATGTGTGCCTCGAGTGAAATATCGCCACCTCAGAGGACCATGGGACGATACGAAAGCGACGCAAAAAAGGCGACCACAGCTACAGAAAGACCTGCCTAGCGAGAGAGTTCATTGAAGTTTTACCCCGACTACGGCGTACGGACATCGGCGCCTTCGGGTGAATCCATGATGATGGACGTGGGGAACACGCAATAGAGTTTGAGTAGCTCATCAAACGCACTACAACCCCAGCCAGGATGTGAATAACTCAATTCCGCCCGACTCATGCGTTTGCCAGTCCCTTTTTTCCGCCTTACTTTTTGTATCCGTAGGGCAGGGGAAAACAACGGTCCGGCAATTGGTTCTTACACTACTTTAGTTATGTGCCTTGAAGCATGGGCTGCTCCGGATATGGACCTCGGAAGGTCAGAGGCTTGTTGTTATACCAAACCTTTGCCACGCATATCGTTGTTAATTGTATAAAGTTTATGATTATGAGAGATCGTCGTCTTGGTATTGCTTGAGGCAGTCGACGTCTTTTCAGCTCGGCGAGTATCCGTATGGATTTGAAACAGCTACTTGTAGCCTTCAGTGCTCTCCACCTGTTGAGAGAACACTCAAGGATTGCAGTGTTTCTAACAACACCGTAATGCGCAAACATATCACGAGGATCGGAGGCAGCCAGATGCTCAAGAGCGATCAACAATCGTCACGTACAAGACGCAGCAAGCGATGAGTTGATATGCAAGTAAATGAATGATGCTAGATTATCCGTGTAAAAGACTTAATGACCCATGACAATCCCTTCCAACCCCGTCAGCATATCCTGTGTCTATGATACCGCAACTCCATGCTCAGTGCCAAGTGTGTCCGTGTATCCGTATTCCCGACCCCAAGTATCCTTACTTTCCATGCATACCATTGCAAAGGGTGCTGGTTCTTGAGCGTCTGATAACACTCACGCAGCTCAATGATCGTAACCCGGAGGTAGTCTACGAACTGTCACCGGGCGAAGAGGGAATAGGCTGAGGTCGTCCCTGGCTCGCGCTCTTGCGGGTATCAAACATCCTCGACACCCGGTTCTGGTGCAACGTATGCGCCGTCTCGTGGATCTTGTTCAAATCGTAGTGACGGATCATGAAGCTCGCGAAGAAGGCAATCACCGCCAACGAGACGTACACGCCGTGCACGCCCTTGAAGCCGAACGCATACGACTCCAAGACAGCATCCTTGAACGTGCCGTCTGCTAGGCCCTTGATGACGAGAAGATACTCCTCGGCGCGCTGAGCGATATCCTGCGCGATACCCTTGCGCTCAAGCTTCATAGCCATGACGTTCTGGAACGTGGTGGAACCAACGTTGACGCCGATGGCGCAGCCCAACATGCGCAGGAAGAGGTACATGGCCGCGGCGTGACCCGAGTTCTCGGGCTCGACGATGGCACCCGTGACGAAAGTCTGGGCGTTGAGGACGAAGCCGTGGCCGATACCGCCAATGGCGAGGGTGACGATGTGAACGGGCAAGGAGGTGTCCACGTCCCAGTAGATGAGGAGACCGGAGGCGATCGACATCAGGGCCCAGCCGATCCAGATGGACCAGCGGTACGCGTTGAAACGGGAGACGAGGATGCCGGAGATGATGGAGCCCGGGAGGAGGAGAAGGGTGACGGGAAGCATGGCTACGCCAGCCATGGTAGGGCTGTACTGCGAGACGGAGAGGAAGTAAAAGGGGATGTAGTATAGCTGGCCATAAAGCTGCGAGGGGTTAGCTAATAATCATCGGAGGCGTGTGCGTGTGATGCACGTACAATGAAACCCTGAAGAAGGCCGAGGACGTAAACCGTGATGGCGCTACGGTCGGTGAAGAGAATCTTCTTCAAGAACGGGTATCTCGCGTAGCTGTGCTCGTAGAACAGAGTCACTGTCAAACCGGCAGCGCCGATGAAGACAGGCACCAAGGTCTGCGCGCTGCGCCAGGGGAAGTCGTTGCCGCCCCAGGAAATACCAACGAGGAATGTCACCATGGAGCCGATGAACAAGAAACCTCCAAGCCAGTCGACACGCTTGAGCTTCTCGCTGAAAGTTGCCGTGGGAGGCTTCAAGGTCAAGAGGATAGGGATGGCGAGCAGGGAGTAGCCACAGATGGGGAAGTTCAGGTAGAAGATCCATCTCCAGGTAGTGTGCTCGGCAACAGCACCGCCGATGATGGGGCCGGTAAGGGAGCCGATAGCCCACGCCATCTGACTGAAGATGGTGTCAGTTATGATTGCGCACGCAGGGTAGATCATTACTCACATGATTCCGTAGTACTTGGGGCGATGGCGGAGTGGCACAATGTCGGTAAAGACAACCAAGCTGAGCACATACATGCCGCCGGCACCAATACCCTGAATAACACGACCTCCGAGAAGCAGCCCGATACCGTTCGACACGCAGCAAAGGATAGTTCCAACAGTGAAGAAAACCAAGCTGCCAATCAGAATGATGGGACGGCCAAAGATGTCACTCAGGGAGGCCAAGAAAGGCATTGCGACTGCGCAAGATATTAGGTAGGATGTGCCAACCCAGAAAGCCTGCGTAGATGTTCCCCCAATATCTTGGATGATGGACTGCGCAAGAGAAGCATGTGAGCATCAAGCTACCAAAACATCGTCGCTACCAAGGCTGACTTACACTCAAAGACGTGACAATCACGTTCGCATCCAAGGCAATCACGAACGACATGATGGATAACGTCGTGATGATGACCATCTGGTGCTTGGAAGGTTTCCATTCTGGTATGCTGTCCGACTCGTCGACGAGCATGGGATCGGAGATTCCTCGCTGGTCATGTTCCTTCGGCTCCTTGAGGGCGGTATACGAAGTGGCGGCCGGATCGTACGCCGTCGAAGAGTACGACGACGTCGAGAGGACGCTCTCATGTTGTTGTCGGTAAGCCATCTTGGGCAATCGTGCTCAAGACCAATGCCGCACGAAACTTGCAAAGAATATCGAGAGAATTTACAAGCTGAAGACACAGGGAGCATAGAAACGAGAACTGCAGGTGCTCGCCCTTCTTTAGTATCTTGGGAAGCACATGCCCTGTCGGTGCTTGCTTCGCATCTCAGGGTGGCAACCAAGCTCGAGGCCCGGCTTGCCGTGCGCTGGCATATGCATCTCACATTGGCGAGGTACATACCGGCTTACGCCCCACCGCAGACTGCAGAATCTTGAGCCTCAAAGAGTATCACAGTTCGGGCCATAAAGGGCAGTCGGGTCCTCGGGGGCGAGTAGCTAACCAACGTTGCCGGGCTGCGAGCCTGCTTGCTTGCAGCTCGGTGAGTGCTTTGCTGTCGTCCGCACTCATCTCTCGATTGTTTCATTGGTTGATGCCGCGCGGATCAGTGCGGAACAACATTCTTTGATACCATATCGACAGTCCAAGGCTGGACTGATATGAAAGGCGGTAGCTTTGGGTGTCTGGAGACGTACCGCCGATTCTGGCATAGGCAATCACAGAGTTTGAAATCCTGGTCCCAAGGCCTCGGACTCAGGCCACTGAGCGTTTGGTAGGATCCTGCAAATCGGGTCGCTCAGGAGTTCTGATAAGATTGAGCTGATATCTTCACGAAATAACCGTTGACAGGCTATTCTCACATCAGCTGTGGCCAGTATTGTGTGTAAACTTCCTCGTGTGTCTGTTCAAGTGCTGACAGCGACGCCAGCACGCCTTTCTCGACAAGCATGGTGCTTCTTCGGTAGCATGACGGCCATCCTGACGCTTGCTATCCTCTTCAGGCCAGCGGGTGTAAGCACGACACTGGAATTGAGCACCGATGCGACCTCAAAAAGCTGGACGGGGCTAGCCCGGGTAGAGACGTCGTACCCGTACCCGACAGACGGGACCCGTGCGTGCCTCATTTGTGCATGGTGGTTTTAAGCTATCAAGTGGCGGTGCTTCATCAAGAACTGTCTTATCGGAGAGTCGGCGTAGACTGTTGTTCTTCTGTCTCTGATATCAGACGATCGGGCCGGAATCTCGAACAGATAGTCTTGGAACATCCCAGCCAGATGGGATTACCGGTAAAAGTGAGAACTGGTGGCATGTGCCTTTTCATCGAACTTGGCTTGGGCCATGGACGGTGGGTGACTGAGGAGAGCGGGCGGTCGCTTCTGTGCGCTTATTCGATGATAATTTGTCTGCCTAGAAGATAATCTTTCTTGGGTAGATGCGGGTAAGTCGTACAAAGAAAGGTTAATGAGGGTGCTTGGATCTGTTGGTTGGTAAGTATTGTTAGCGGGCGCTTGTCAAGCGGAAGAGGCGGTCAGATTGGAAGTTGACGTGCTGCCCAATTCTTCCATTCAAGCTAAGGCTCGCTTCGTCCACTTCTGGCTACTCGCAAATGTGTTTGCTGACTGTGGATGCCCGACCATGTCGTCTCACGTCACTGACAATCAGAAACGAAACACAGCCACTGATACTGCTTGAGCGAGAGGATCCTGCAGAGACTCTTCCTTTCCCCAGTCGCTAATTGCTCGAGCGCGCGCGGCAACATGCACCATTAGCCTCCGATAGCCACACGTACGATGTTGATCTGATGTTCGGGCGCCCGGTCACTAGTCGAGGTTTAGCGCTGTCAGAGGCGGGCTTTATACTCGACTGACACTGCACGACTGCTGACCACTGGGTGGGAGAGCTATGGTCTACTTCGTGCCGTGGCATAGATTGTTTTGATGACTGAAAATATCTCACAGCACCAATGCATTGATTTGAATACGTTGGTGAAATGAACTGGGGGCCTAATCAACAATCTTCATGGGTGGAAAGCCGTTGAACAGAAGCTCATGGTCACGGACAAAGATGATTCCAAGGCCGGTGCGCAAAGCTTGGCGAAAGACATCATCAGATGAAAAGCAACGCCATGCCAGTGCGTGCAGACAGGTTTCATTGCGGATTGAGGTGAGTGTCAATGGGGCCGGCGGGTGCGAGGCGCAGTCTGGTCTTTACTGCAGTCGCTGAATGGCGATGGAAATGCAGGTATGTTCATTCAAGGTAGGTAGGAAAGCAGCCGAACACTACGCGGCAGAGTTCTCAACTCTAGCCGAACCATTCTTCTCTCCTTCCGAGGCTGAGTTGGTCCAGTGGCGGAATTGTCGTGCCGGTAGCCTCAACTCAAACATGCGATCAATTTCAGCCGGCGTTCGTCCCTTCATCTCGGGTACCAGGAAGAAGGCAATGACAAGCCCGAGGGCACAAAGACCAGCAAACACGAAACCGGTCTTGGCTTTAAGGTTGCCTTTGTCGGGGTTGAAGATGTATGGCAACACAAATCCGAAGATGGAGTTGTTTGCTCCCGCGGTAAACCAGCCGATAGCTTGGGCTTTGGACCGTAAGTGCAGCGCTGAGGTTTCGGCACCGACAACGTGTGAGGCAGGCCAAACTCCCAGACCCGCCACAATGACCACCGCTATCAGTGTCATGGATGTGTACCTGTTGCAGTCAGTTAAGGCGGTGTTCACGACCACGAGGCTATCGTCAACGTACCATGGTATAACTGGACCCGACCAGCAGCCCGCAATTCCCATGGCGGTCCAGATTATGGACAAAAGGGATAGCGTGCTTAGAATGAGCCGCCTACGTCCTACCCTCGAGAGAACCCATACGCTCATGATGTTGGCAATCAAACCGCAGACGAGGCCGAGTATAAGAACGATGACGCTTAGGTTGGCTTTCATGCCAACGACTTGCACAAAGTAACTCGACTTTGATAGCAACGTCAGACCGAATATGTTTGGCAATGAGTTGGAGAACATGATGATCAAGGTGCGCCTAAGGTTGACACCGCGGAATGAGTCGACATAGGTCGCATTGGTCAGTCGCCTTTCATGCTCGATGTTGCGGCGGATGGTGTCGAGAGTGTCCTCAGGGTCGGCACCAGTGGGATCCAGCTTCAGTTGAGCCCTGTGAGCCTGGGAATTCTTGTTCCTCCGAATGAGATATGTTGGGCTTTCGGGAATCAAGAATGCCATCAACAATGGAAGAGCAGAAAATGGCCATTGTGATGCAAAGCAAATGGTGTACCCGTTCGCCAGATTGAGGCATGCGAAGATGACAGCGGCACCAGTCAACTGGCCAAGCAGCGTGAAGATGGGGAAAAAGGCCAGGAGCGGTCCTCTGAGATTTGGCGGTAGGATCTCCGACATGTACGTCTGGGAAGTCGTCATGACCATGCCAATGGCCCCTCCTTGGAAGCCTTTGCCAGCGAGGAAGATGATTCGCCGGGTATGGATATCGGGAGAGAGGTTGGAGACGAAGCAAACAGCAACCCCAATGGCTGACAGAAAGGATCCCAATGCAAGCGACGCTCGACGACCATATCTGTCTTGGAATACACCTCCAATCAAAGAGCCAATCATGGAGCAGCCTGGGCTGACGAAATTCCAGAGACCGAGCCAGAGTGAAGGCAGAATCCACTTTCCATTAAGCTGTTGACCAAAGTCATGCCTGGAAAGGTTTTGTTAGCCAGACATTTCGATGCCAAGGGCAGAGAGCCTCGAAGGGTGAAGAAACATACTGAAAGCTGGGCATTGCTGAAACTGTGCCAACAATCACATAGTCGTAGCCGTACATCAGGATGGCGGAAGTCATGCCGATACAATAGAGAACGACGCGACGCCACTTCTTGATTGACTGCCACAGAGTAAGGTGGCCATGTTGGTTGGTTTCTGGTTCCGAATTATTCGTACTTGCTATGCTGGTCACGGCGTTCAAGCGGCCGACGTTCACGGACTTGACACTCATGTTGTACAAATCGTCAGTGGCATATCTCGTTGGCGGACCCGAGCGATTGGGTGAGGCTTCGACGGTTTCTCGGGGCTTTGTGAGGTGCTTGTGATGGCTTGTCTTTGGTCCAAGGACTGCCGACAATGAAATGGGTGTTGGAGTAGACGGGAAGCGCATCTAGAAGGTGAGGGAGCGACAGCATTTTCATTCAAGAAAGGAGGACGCTTGTTGCGCCCACGACGGTGGCCGAATACAAGCTAGGCTGGCATTCTAAGCCGCTTCCAGATCTTGGCGACTCTGCTAGGTGTGATCCGCATGTGTCCAAGACATTTCCAGGTTGCATTGCACCACCGCCAAGAGCATGTATTTGCAACTCAGAGTCTGTGGCGGGGAAAGTTCCTTTGGTGGATGGTGAGGACTGTCCAATGATTTGGGGTGGACGAAATTGGCATGCTGGCACCCGCGTCGTTGAGAGAGGGGGGAGTTTCTTCTTTCGCCTGCGACACGCAGAATGCCGATGTGGAAATAGAAACGATCCGGGGCGAACCGGCCAGCTGACGACGAGGGAACAGTCCTCTAGCCACCATCCAGCAGGTCGTTTGCAGGTTGCGTTTACCTCGGCTTACGGTTGACGAGGTCGAGAGAGGGTGTTCAATATTGCTGGCTTGTATGGGCTAGCCGTCCATTGTTTGCTTGAGTGCGAAGCTTTGCGCCAAATGATCCGGCTCATTTAGAGTTGAACATTGGCATTTGGGCCTTTTGTTCTCCTCGCGAATCTTGCGACGGCGCGTCTAAGTTCGAATCCGTACATGGCGGATCCGCGTAGCGCAAGTTGGACGCTTCCCCGTATTGTAGGCGCCCATGATCCATTGGCGATCTGCGTCAGGCACTTATCAATCGATCTGGTCCCTACGAAGTAGACGAGGAAGATTTGCACAGCAAAGTTGTCGAGGCGTTCTCGATGATCCTCTGCCGCAGGCCTAGCTCAAGACATCTTCAAACGCATTCGAAATCAGTACGCTGAAGCGATCAGCCTTCTAAGCGATAAGAAAACGGGTTTGATCTTCAGGGTGGGTTTGAAAATAGTAGAACGTTCGGCCGATAGCATGGGAGATCCATGCCTTCTGCTACAGATCGATTGAGAATTTGCAAGAGGTGGTCCTGTTCAGGAAAGATTCGAGTGCTCTTCCATCCCTGCAGCACACCCTCTTAAACGAGATACGTCCGTTAGGATGGAGGCGAGTCCACTTGAGCGGGCTATCATGCACGTGGGCGGCGTGCCAGTCCTCAGGGATGTACGAAGTATGATGCGGGGGGGCCGTCACGGCGTAAGGACGGGGAATGACTTCCGGGCCCGTCGCCGGCTGTGATCACTGATGGTGAGGTTTTACCTCCGACCCCAAAGCGCATACGATGCCGTGCGTGCGTGGAGGTGAGGTTGTGCTCCAAGAAGTGGAATGTGTTGGCAATGGAGGGCTGAGAGAGGCACGAGGGCGATTCGCCGAGATGCGAGTGGCTGCTTCAGAGGCTTAGGGGGCTGCGGCCTAGGTATGCTGCACTCAGGTTGCACTCGTTGGCACAAATTTGTTCAAGGGCAGCATCAGCGTGAGGTGGCCATGAATGCGCCAAGTCGCAAGTGCTGGTCGTGCGAAGAAGAAAAAAGCAAATATTCATTTGATGGAAAGATTGGAGGAGGACAGAGAGGAGCTGGACGGGAGCCTTAGGTTGAAGCAAAGTGGAGGTACGTACTTCCAATCAGTACCGGAGGCCGGAGAGACCTTTCCCCTTCCTTTTGTCGCTCGTCTCGGAAAGACGGGACCCAGTTGGAGAGAGACGTACCTTATCTGGAGAAAGGAAGGTGCAGCCGTGGCTCCGAGAAGATCTTGGAAATCGAAAACACGACGAAGAATGGAAGTCACGACGCGATGTTCCTGCCTTACCTACGTTTGGTAACTAAGGTAGGTTCTTTCCCTTGGAGCTCATCCCGGCGGCCATGATCGCATGGTCTGTGCGCATCGATCAGGCACGGGCCAGGAACCGTCGCGTTTTCATTGACTGTTGAGGCGGGTGGTGGATCTCGGCGGGTCCATTTCGTTGACATCACCACTGAGGGCGCGGTGATGGCGTCGGCAACGTGCTTTTCTGCATCGTCATTGCTCAACCCCTGGATCAGCGACAGCGGCCATGCAGCGTTGAACTCACCTTCCAGCCTGCCTTATCCATTCATCTTGACTACTTTGCCTCGTGTATAACTCATATCGAACTGCCCTACCTCTCATCAATCCACTCTTATCAGTGCATGCGATCTGTCTTCATTGCAATGGCGAGAGCAACCCGTTCGAGTGCTCGTTTGGCCTCGACTGTCACGAAGCCAGCAGACACCCCGAGTGCTGCCAATGGCGCAACAAAAAAGGGCCGGTCTGTGAAGCAGACTTCGTCAGACAAGGAGAATACGCCTCAACCTGAGAAGAGGAAACGGACAACAAGCAAAGCTGCAAGCTCAACACCGGCCAAGAAGGTCAAGACGGAGGATGCGGACCATACGGCGTCCCCGGATTTCGCCAACGTACCAGCCCTAACACCACTCAAGAAGGAACAAGTCAAATCCGAAAGCCCAGACACTAAAGCAAAAGTCCAAAAGTCTCCCGCAGACTTAAAGTCAAAGAAGCTCAAGGCCTACTCTCAATACGCTGACAAGTCACCCTTCCCCGACTTCCCGCACCCAACACCGGACGAGTGCAAATTGGCCCACCGCATTCTGGCCAAACTGCACGGAAAGCGAGAACGCCCTGCCGAAGTCAAGGCATCTTCAACCCGCGCCGGCTGCGGAGACTCGCCGTCGGTGCTCGATGCACTGGTCAGGACCATCCTGAGCCAGAACACGAGCGACACAAATTCCACCCGCGCCAAGAGGAGCATGGACGACGTCTACGGCGGCAGCGATGAGTGGGAGAAGATTGTCGAGGGCGGGATTCCCAAGCTGCAGGAAGCCATCAAGTGTGGGGGGCTGAGCCAAGTCAAGAGCAAGGTCATTGTTGGCATCCTCAATCAGGTCAAGGAGAAGTACGGCTCATATTCTCTCGATCATCTCTTCAATGTCAGCAATGAAGACGCGATGCAGGAGCTCATTAGCTTTCAGGGCGTCGGCCCGAAGACTGCCAGTTGTGTTCTTCTCTTTTGTCTGCAGAGGGAGTCGTTCGCAGTAGATACCCATGTGTGGAGAATCACCGGTCTCATGGGGTGGCGGCCGAAGAGCGCCTCGCGGGACGAAACCCATGCACATCTCGATGTTAGAATCCCAGATGAAGACAAGTATGGGCTACACATCCTGCTTGTCAAGCACGGCAAGGTATGCAGCGAGTGCAAAGCTGGTGGTAAGAGTGTTGGAAAATGCGAGTTGAGAAAGGCATTCCGCCATGAAAAGATCAAAAGTGAAGAAGGGGAGCCTTCCGATCTCAAAGTAGAGGCAGACTCTTGAAGGCATTTGTCATAGGTTGGTTATTCTAAACAGACATGTTTGAAATTCATTACGTGCCTACTTAGGATAAACCCTGTCCTGTTTTCCAGTACGAGTAGTAGCATCAAGGCTTTTAGCTAATCAATATACCAAGGACATTACCACCATAAGCTACGATATTAATCCGACATAAACCTTAAGGTAATAGAAATAGGGCAGTGAATTTTTTCAAAAGTCCTCCAGGTAAAATAGTTAGAAACGGCGAAGTCTCTCATCCTCTTCCAGGTTGAATCATACTCGCGGACGCCTGAAAATGTACGTTGAGAAATCAAACAGAGCGCTGGCTTCATAACGATACAATCAGAATTATAATAATACGATGGTTTTTTTGTTTAGTATTTAGATTTAGGGTTTCTGCTGTTTTTGTTTTGTTTTGTTTTCTTTTTCCTTTTCTCAAAGAAAAACAGACAAATAATTCTGTCTGAACTAGCGACTCTCAGAGCACCGACGAAATGAGACTGGACCTATGTTTGCACCATAAAAGGGTCTGTCGTTGGTATTCGCTCCTTCCGGCCACTCAGTATAGCTGTCGATGCGTTCCATAACTCGTGATACAGGCTTTGAGCCTCTTGTCAAATTGGTAGTGATGTTTTGGAACATGGTGCCAGTCGTACTTCATTTGGATCCAATAACTTGTGAGTGACGAAGTGATTCCCCGGTCTCTGTGCTCTCCATGTAATATAAGAATGATTGCACCTTCAACCCCACCTTCTCTACCGCTTCAGAAATGCGAAAATCCCCAAATTCAGACGGGTCCGTGGCGATAATTAGGAATTGCGCCTTTTCTTCCTCCTTCGCCAATTCCGTTTGTTCTTTGTATAGAGCCACCAGCTTTCCTAGAATGAAAGAGTCGAAGATTTCGGCTGGTAGTTCGGCGGGGTTGTCGATATAACAGATGACGGTCATCTGTCTTGGTAATTGTCGTACCAGGCGCTTGAAAACGTCCCAATAATGGTCAAGCCAGGACTCATCCGAGAATTTGAAAGTGCACTGCGCGTCATTGTCAAAAAAGTCGAACCCACATAGCCTCAAGATCTGGCCAACGAGGGATTGAACCATCGTCAACTCGATCTCTGCGTCATTTGGGAACTCGTGGCCACAGAAGATGACAAGACTAAGGAACTGGTCTCTTGGTTGTCCGCGAATAATACCCTCGTTCTTTAGCTGCGTTCGACTGTCTTCGACATATATCTTGCAGACCATTGATAATGCGGTTTCCGTCCATGCAGTCTCGGGATCGGGACAGGAATGTTTCCTGATGATCAACACTGGGTTTGAAGTTTCGGATGTCGTACTGGAGCCGGTGTAGGTGAACACGATCCTCTTATCTGCAGAGATCGTTCTAGCTTGATCCTCCGCGGAACCAATTACGTGGCGTCCCACATCCTCCAAACAACGCGTATCGAAGCGCCTAGCCCAAAAGTTAAGCGACATCCCCTCCCATTGTTTGCGTCTTCGTTCCGCATCTGGGTCTACATAATCAGGAAGGTCAAACACTCGGAGCATTCTGTTGTGTTTGATCCTCAGTAAGGTAGTTAGTACAGAGGGTAGAGTGATATAGATGGCAAGAATTTCATACTTCGTGACCTTAAATGAATAGTAGGTGTACGTCTTGATCAAAGGTCTAGTCGACTGGCAAAATATCAGGTAGATTCAAAGTGAGCTGCTGAGGATGGAAGCTGCCGGAAGCTAAAAAGCTCTCCGGTGACCAATATATATATCTACTAGGTGATCTCTAGTACAGCGCCAAGACAAGTTGATTGACTTCCTTGTAAGTAGGAATGAAATAAATGACATCCGTAGCCAGGCTTCGATGAATGCACCATGATTTCCGGGGCGGTGATCTATTCGCTCCAAACATCTTCTTTGTATGTGTGCTGTTTCGTTAGCCGGGGCTGTCCTATTGTACCTAGAATATGGGAGAGTGCCCTCATTTCTGAATTCTCCTGAACAGCTGATCCGTATCATTCTGTCTAACCGGAACGCGGTGAAGACTTTTCTTTGTGCCGCAGGTGGACACCATACTGAACCGCACAGACGTCCATTGACCTTGAAGTTTGAAGAGCCAAAGGTAAGTACGGCGAAAGACATTCAAGCATGGCAGCTGTTTCTTATCCAACAAAGATTCAAATGACATTTGGTCTATCCTCGGCTGATCTTACCAACTGGAGTCTCACTAGAAAAGTAAGGCACCTCCTGGAGTAGTCTCTCAGCTGCACATGACTGCAAAGCGCCACTCTTACTTACGACGTTGGCGAGCTGGATGTAAGCTGAACTCCAATGTAGCCACCTTGCAATATTAAAAATACGACGTCTAGGTTTATCTTGGATACGATGGAGTGATTCTTGGAACTATTATATAGACCAGATCCACGGGCAAGTGATTCAAAGAAACATGAAGGGAACTCGATAAGTTGGGAGCTTATACATCCACGATGATTAGGGCAACCTACCTCACTTGTGAATACGCGTTGATAGAGACAAGTACCAAAACTAAAAGAACGAAATTGACCTTTTCGGTGAGGGAGGGGAGGGGGATGTTGCCTACAAGCAATGTCGCAGCTCGAGGTCGTTGCACCTTAAGGCATGAACGCATGGTGGTCGTTACGGTTCTAAGGGTAAAGTATGAAATGACTCAATTGATATTTGTGAAGCCTAATGCTCTTTATCGATTTGGGCACTGTCCCTGTGAGCCTGAACTTCTCCAGAGGCCAGACCCGTCGGAAGCGACCTTTCTCATGTCATTGAGAAGCTCCGATCCTCATCAGTTACAACTCGAAGCTTCACGTAGTAGGAGGCAGCAATGTGCCGCTTTTCGTAGAGGAGATTATGAATCTGGAGACCCCCTCTGGGTCCTGGGCCCGTGAATACCAATTTAAACGCCTGACGTTTCGGACTTCTTTCTTTTTCGAGGTTTGCTTGGTCTTCGACCAGACCGATCAAGTTTTCTGTGACAATGTCCATTCCATCTTCTGTGTCATGTCGACCAATGAAGTCGATAAAACATGTAAGTTCGACTTCCAAGGACACTTTACGAACCAAATCTCTGAAGAACCTGCATAGGTATTCGACATCGTCTTTTTTAGCGCTCTCAAAGGCAAGGACTTTACCACCCTCATCCGAGCAGCACTGTCTGGCGTACCTTTCAAGGATTTGGTAGATTAGGGATGTCATCATGGTCAGAGCAACGATTCCCGACTCGGCCTCCCGGCGTTCAGGATGATGCTCCGAGCCACCCATAAAGAAGACTAGAGAGCCGAAGGGCTTTTTTTGAGCGAACTCTCTCCGCTTCTGCCCGGCCAACCTGCGACACAACACCGATAGTTCACTCAAATGATACTTGTCCCACAGAAGATCAGAGTCCATGTCGCAGTCGATGAGCACTATGCATGACTTTCTGACTTGTTCCCATGCGGCTATTTCGCGTGAGGCCAGAATTTGAGACCAAAGTGGTCCAGAAACCTCACGCGAAGCATGGTACAACCTGACCTCATTGTCTCCCACCCATTGAAGATCCTGCTCGTCGCGGCCGTGGACCCACCAAATGTCGGGACGTTGATTCTCGAGAATGAGGTCCTGCATGTTATCCCAGACTCCTTTCTCAGAGGTGGACTCCGGAGACGACATGATAGGCAATTCAATGTCCTGGTCTTACATGTCAGTTCGCCATCAGGTGAGGAGACATTAAAGGGAAAGATCTTGCAGCGAGCTCACCACTAATTGACCAGCGGCAGTATGTCTTCAGGTAAATTTGGGTTTGAAATTAACTTGCAGCTGGGTCGCGTGGCTTCGGCTTTCTGACAGTTCTTGTATGAGAAGGTGGTTGTTGGGTCTTCTACCACCGGCGAAAGGACTGGCAAGCTGCGAAGATATGGACCTGGGACACTGAGAATGTCTTCAGTGGAGGTGTGAAGATTCGTTGGTTGAGGCTTGATCAGGAAGAAAAGTCGACAGATCGGCTGCTGAAACTTATAGTAATCTCTGCTCCAAATCGGCTGCCCCCCATCCTACAAATACCAAATCCCAAGATGGACTGACCTTTTGATGTTGAGCTACCTTTCCAGCAGTGACTAGGCTTAAAAGCGCACACTGTATTTGCTCAACTAGAACCTTGTGAACATCTGCTCTGAACACGAACATCGATGGCGGTGATGGCTTGATGTAAGGTAGTACAGTGAGTGATCTACGCGTGTTCCAATCTCCTTTTCACCAGCATTGATGTCAACTTGGGGGCGGTAACCATTCTCCTTGGTATTGTGAAACAGCATGGTTCATTGATAGCCACTGTTCCTCCTCACCTGTGCAGACCCCTAAGCGCTCTCAACCGTGTTTGCTTGTCTTTGGGCGTTTCTCGGTCCAATAGGAAGAAGTCTTTGCGGTCCAAAAAGCCCACGCAGCGCCTCGTGGGAGTCAGTTCCTTGTGATATGTTTCAAGGCCTGCCTTAGATCGGGGTTTCATGCTCAATTTGGGTGTGGTACCTAGGTCTATCTCAGGCGGTTCTAACGGTATCAGGCAACAAAGGCAATAGCTCTTTAATGCTTCTTTAGGAGTAGCAGGCGGTAAGACTTGAGGTTGCACGGCATCTGGCTGCATGAAATATTCGGGCAGCAGCTGTCTTTCCTTTCAAAAACGGTTTGTTCCTCGAGAAGAAGTATAATCTCGAGTCTTGGTAAACCCGACGATGTGATAGGGGGACATAAAGTATTTATTTGAACGTTTAGGCGATTAAAACCACAGCCTTATGAAGATTGTGATGAAAATAGAATATCATTTCGAGAATTCTTTCAGGAATAAAACTAAATTGATAACATATGGGGATAAATTGCATTAGTGTTAGCTGTGAATTGATTACATATTGAACTCAACTTTAGCGTAAAAACGATTTGCACGTTGACGAAAGCAGAATGCGACCCTATTGCCTGAAATTTAGCCGATTCGGTGCGAGCGAATATCAGTCACACTCATGTCCGAATTTTGCTTCCAGGCAGTGCCTACTCGATTACTTGCACTGCCCAGTCTGGCAAAAAGCTTCTGTGTGGGCAAGAGAAGTGTTATAGTGTTATGACAGGTTGCGTGACTATTGACCATAACTTAAGGGCTACAAGTGATTCACCCACAGCAGCCACTGATAGCGACATGAGCTTCGACAGGGGTGGATCTACATGACGGTAGACTTCACCTCCTTCGACTTCACTATAAGCTTCACTACTTCTGGCAGGGTTGCTAATATATCTGGTCCGGTGGGCTTCCAACCCAAAGCGCGGAGACGATCCCCTCGGGCCTTGGAATTACCACCCCAGACAAAATGTCCAATGGGGTGGATAGCGGACACATCTTGCTCTGACAATTTGTCAACTCTTTGTGAGCTGATCTTCCCTAGCTTATAAAGTACTTGTGCAACCGTTTCGGCTATGTCTTTCAGATCCTATGGAATTGTTAATCGATGAAACGGAATGAGATTTCAGCACAGCCCATGCCAGCCACTTACATATGGCGAACTTTCAGCAAAGTAATATCCTTTACGCCCCCACTGCGCCTTTCCTCCATCAGGCTTTGCTGCTTCTTCAGCAAGCAGGATGAAAGCATCCGCACAGTCGTCGATATGGATTTCTGCGCGGCAGTGAGCATTTGGATGTGTGTAAGGCCATAAAGGTGACGTGGACCTACGATGCTACTGATTTTGAGCCTCTGCAACTTGAAAACCTCTGCCCCGATCTATGACCTTCTCGATGTATCCACCAACAGAGAAGCCCATGCTCTTCAGAGGGCCTTGACCAAGGCCGTGAATCGTGCAGGGCGAGATGATTGCCACTGGCACGTGCAATCGTTCGCCAGCCTCGAGGACAGCTTCGTCGACGTCTCTGTGTACGTGTCCCTCAAGCGGCAAGGATGAAATTTCTTCGATATCGTCGACATCATTCCATGTTCTGTCACTAAGAACGCCTAGTAGAGAGGTGAGTAGTTCATTCTAGCTTAGATGAGCCTAAGTGAATTTACCAAATCCCTTGGAGACGTCAAGAACCATTCCTGTTCCGGAAATATGGATCAGTTTCCCCGGAGCTGACTGCCCTTGGCTGAGGCCTTCGACCAAAGACACAGCTCCAGAAAGATGATCAGCTGATGCAAGCTCTGCCGGTAGAAAGAATTAGCACACATATCCTATCTGAAAGGAATGGGTGCCCACGAACGCAAAACGATATCTGCAGTCGAAGCAGCCTTGACCAGGATATCTTTGTTGTCCAAGTCACCAATTACGACCTCGATGTCTGGGTACTTAGCCAAAATGTCGACAGCCTGCTTCTCTGTCCTAACGAGAACTGAGTAGTTCCACTCTGGGTGTTTTTGAACGAGTCGTACAAATAAGTGCCCTCCAACGTAACCAGAAACTCCAGTTAAGAAAACTTTCGGCTGCCGCATCTTGGAAACAAGCCGTTTGGTGTGAACTGTGGAAACTTGCAGCGTTTGAAAAGGTCGTCCTGACTGTTGATACCAGACGTCAAGAGCTGGCCGTGATATTTGGGACTTGATAGATGCAATCATGCTTGATTATTATAGGTAGTGGTACAGGTTTCTGTAGGACCTTGGAAGCGATCCCCTGTGGAGAAAGTGTCGTCGCCAATATCTTACGTAAAAACGGGATTCGGGCCGGTGGTCGGCGTCCGGGCTCGGCGTCCGGGCTCGGCATCTGTAGTCGGCACCTATTCTGAAGTTCCAGGCATCTTCACGGAAGAACTGGATCGCCATGCTGATAAATAAAATTTTGACCTACGGATATCCACGCTGTGTAATTGATTGGGTAAACCACCTGTGATAGGCGCCATGACTGGCCAAAACTAGCCTCGTCTGGTCCCAGACAACGAACCTCAACTTTATATAATGATATGGATAGCATGAAGCCCTACACTGTGTCCCTCTAGTCATGAGTAGCCTTTTCGTCAACCTTGTGTACGAGACCCCACGATACTCGTCTTGAACACAGACAGTCCAGTGTATCCAGCCACTATGACTAGGCTCCTCACGGTCTTTGGAGCTACGGGCCAGCAAGGTGGTGCTCTGGTCAACCACGTGCTCAATACACCAGCACTCTCATCCTTCTTCCAGCTGAGAGCAGTGTCCAGAGATGCCTCTAAGCCCGCAGCAGTTGCTCTCAGACGTCAAGGTGTCGACTTAGTGGAGGTGAGTAGTCCTTGATCTTCAAACACTTGGCGTTATTAACGTTATTTACAATTCTCCAAGGCGAACCTGGACGACCCGGCATCATTGAAAAAGGCAGTTGCCGGTGCACAGGTGGTGTTTGCAGTAACGAATTGTATGTCTATGATCATCCATCACCTACTCAAGCCTGTCAAATCCTTCATGTCCTACAGCGCCCGAATCTAACTGCTTGACGCAAACACAGACTGGGAAGAGCCTGGCGTTGAGAGAGAGATTCGCCAAGGCAAGGCCATCGCCGATGCCTGCGTCGCCGCTGGGGTTGACCAAATCATTTGGTCTTCGCTACCCAGCATTTCTAAGATTTCTGGTGGCCGGATTGATGTGGTTCGGCACTTTGAAAGCAAGGCTGTGGTTGAGGAATACATTCGGGGTCTCGAAATCATGAGCACCTTCTATATGGCCGGCTGGTTCATGCAGAATTACGCGCAGGTCCCAGCACTTCTACCTGTAAGACGCCCCCTTCCTCTCCCACCTCCACCTCTCTCTCTCCCTTGAAAGTCGCTCAAAAAGTCCGCACGCCATTGCGCGTAGCTCGTACAACGCTGCAGAAAGCCCAGCTGCTGCAATTTCTTCCAACGACATGAGGGGATTCAAGCTGAGGCCAACGAGTATAACACGCGGGAAGAAAGCCGCAGCCCTAAAACCATTGTTCTTGACTAACACCATCCTCCCTAGGTTAGCGACGGGACCTATTATATCTTTAGCCAGCCCTGGTCACCATCGACTCAACTGCCCCTTATCGATATCCGCGACACTGGCAAATTCTTAGCCCCTGCACTTCTTGATCCGGCAGTATTCCATGGCAAGAATCTTGCTTGCGCGACCGCATACTATAGCATGAATGAAATGGCGGCCGCCTGGACTAGAGTGAAGGGAACAGAAGTTGTTTACAAACAACTTGGTGCAGACGAGCCCCTTCCTGGCTTCCCCGAAGAGCTGGCTCATAATTTCAAAGAAGGGCTTGCTTTCGTAGAAGAGGTTGGGTATTTTGGACCCGCAGGGCCAACAGATGTGGTTTGGACTCTTGAGCAACTACATGGGGTTCCAGGCAGCCATTCGCTAGGCACTTGGGAGGACTTTCTGCGAGAGAATAGCCTCTAGCTGAGATAACATCCAAAAAAACCTTGATTACTCGCTCTAGCTATGACACTAGAGCTCTGGATGTGAAATATGGGTGATCGGTCACATTGGTATTGTCGCAAATTTGTGCCACTCAGCATTTGGCATTCGCAGAGCCGCTATTCTGGATTGAGCGACGTGTCACACCTTGATCAACGTCGCTGTCTGCATCGCTAAACTATTCACTATGGGCGCTATGTCCGCCGTCCCCGCATGCATCATCGGGGGCGACCTTATGATCATTATGTTACAAAGCGAGGATCTAAGTGGAAGACATATACAGTAGAAATTGGCTTGGTTCTTCTAAGTGAGGCACCCTTAAAGGGTCGTAACTAACTACCGTACTAAGAAGGCATTCGTCTCGTAGCAAGCAGTCTCGTACGGTGATAAGTGGGCAGCACCACGGGCGGCGTTGCGACACATTACACGTTCGTTATGGCAGTCCTCGTATGATCATCTAAGTCTTCCCTCGGTAGGCTCAAAGTGCCATTATGCAGACCCCTCGATGCTTCAAAGTTGCCACCGCCATTGACGAAAAAGTCTCTTGCGTAGAGTAGCTTGACTAACCCAGTCATGTCTCCCCTCTGCATCTCTGCTTTCCCTTCGGCGTAACGCTGCTGGACATCCTGGTACTTAATCTTCCAGTCTCCCTCAGTGGCACCAGTGACACGGAGGACAGATTCAAACATGTCTCGTTGGCTCACCAAAAAGGATGAGACATAGACGGGCTGGTTCTTGAGCTGCGAAAGAGTGAGGCCGTCTTTCTCGTTCTCTGCGGTGTGTACCTGCAAGCTGAGTACTTGTGCGATGGCTCGACCACACTGTTCCAAGGTGCTGGTATTGATCTTTGTTGAGCCTTCATCGTAGAAGGTAATTGTACGATTCGGAAAATCAAAGCCAAAACGCTCTGCGCCGCCGGCCAAGCTGAACTCATACCAGAAGCCGCAGACCAGTGAGATCCAAGAACTCTTCCCGAGACTCTCGATATAACGGCGTGTCTTCTGCTTCATTTCGCCGAGGATCGAATCTTCGGCCAAAGATCTATCGTCGGAGTCGAGTCCCCATTCATTGGGAATGACCCAGGCGACGTGAGCCTCCGCTGCGGCTTCAATAAGTTTGGCTTCCTGCTCCGGCGGGGCATTTCCGGCAAGAGTGATAATCAGGACATCCTTTCCACAAAGAGCATCGACAAGAGAGGACCGGTCTTCATAATCGACTCTCTTAACAAGCACCCCATCAGGAATTGTGCTAGTGCTTTCCGCCCGAGTCAAGGCAGTGACTTGGTGTTTCTTAGTTCTCAAGAGCTCTCTAGTGATATGCGAGCCAATTTCTCCTCCTGCCTATTGTGCGTTGAGATTATGTAATGACCTTGGGTATATGTGGGTAACATTGTTCTTACACCAACAATTGCAACGTGCCGGGGATGACTAGATGTCGGGGACTTATCGGAATGGGTGAGGTTTTGTGCCATAGTGATCAGAATCGTTCTTCTTTTGCTTCTTCTTTTTCTTCGGAATATTCTATGATATCAGACACGGGGAAAGATGGTTTCCAACTGTAATGAAGCAGACTCATACATGTAATATTCTTCAACTTCAGCTTTGAAGCAATTTGGACGAGTGATAAAATCCAAAAGACCTCCTTTTCCAAGTTTGTAGCGTCGCGGACGAACCTCAAGCCCGAATCTACGTATTGGCTTACAAAATGGTCGGCCGATCGGATGAAAGTCGGTCGAATTGCCTGCAATCCTAGTTTTGAACAATGGATCTCGCATCGGCGTGGGAAAGCAAACCGGTGGGATGGACCCATCCCGGGTTTGGCACCTCGGCTCATAGTGACAGGGCGGGAAACGGGTGCAAAGTATGTGCACCTGTTCACTATCGTAGCGCGTAGACGACACAATCGCGTTGACAATCCGACAATTGAATCAGTCTTTAGTGCGCGTCCCTCTGCAAAGCAGAGAGGGTGTGCATAATTCTGAACCATTTCTGGGGCGATGAGCTCCTGCCTCAAGACGATGAAACTGACGTCGATGGTGTACTAAGGGTTGCAATGTATGATTATCGGCGAGAGCCCCTCGCTTATAGTCTTATGGTCTCGACTCCGGGGAACTGCACCGCTCTATTCGCGAAATTCCCCGTTTTAATTACCTTAGATATCTTGAGAAGGCTTCACCGATAGGCGTACATCATGATCGATCTTTGACCCCAAGTGATACGTCATACTTAGGCTGCGGGTAAAACTGAGAGACGTACTCTGAGCAACCCGCATGCAGATAACAAAGTTGTTTGGAGCCGATACTGGTCCATCATAACATCCAGAGTCTTCATCGCACGCGTGGTTTACTAATCGCAAGACGTGCTGAAACTTCCTAGTGGTATAGAAAACATATGTATGTCATATTATCCAGCACTCTTTCATATTGTAGTGCACAAAGTAAGTAGAAAATGATGATTATAATTCGACACTTTTTTCTTAGTAATATAAGTTACCAAAACACTAATAGCAAAGACTAGAGCTTAGCTCATACTAACATAATTCATTTTTCCGCGTTTTGAATCCTTTGTTTCTGTTCCTTCTCACTTTTGTTTTTTCGTTTTCCCTTTTTATATTGTTTTTTCATGTTGCTTATATCCCATGTCCAACAATCAATGCAAACGTACTAATATAGACTTTCAATAAGAGCGGATGATTTCTGTTCTCAGCCCTGATCGATTTGGCACGAGTGCAGTTGAAACGGTGCATCTTAAAGCTAAGTCTCGTTTGTCAATCGAATGCCGGCAAACCCGCCTGGTCAAGGAAAAATAAGCTAGGCCATTTGACTCGAGGGCTTGTACAAATGAGTTTGAACTTTGCTTTGACGTTGGGCTGTTCTTTGCTTTCGTTGACCAGCCTGTTCAGACACCACATAATTTTACCGACGTTTTCGTAGGAGACTTCCTCCCGACAAAAACCGAGCCCCTCGATGAAGCAGACTATAGTTGTCGCTGGGCCCAAGAGGTTGATGACGTTCTCGAACCTGCGGCAAAGATCTTCGACACTGTCTTCTGGACTGAACGCTGCTTGAAGCGTGGAGTCTTGCGCCTTCGGGGAAAATAACCCCAAGTTGTGTTCCCGGTCCAGTGTGATAATCTGAGCGAGAAAACACCGAATCATAATACCACCGGTATCATGTTGGCAAATTTCTTGCCGCCGGCCACAGAAGAAAACTAGACTCAAAATTGGCAGTCCAGAATCCATAGACTTTCGAAAGGAGTCCACCCAGTTGGCGCAGATTACAGATAGTGGCGTTTCTCTAACAATCGAAGAATGTTGGCTATTGACTGGGGAACCCAAGGGTTCGTAAAAGAGACGTTTCAACGGCTGGGGGTCGGAAAGCAATATGGCGATCTCTTCCGATACTCCGGAATATTCATTATGTTCTTCGAGCCCTGGTATCCCGTAATCGTTGAAGATGCGGGAAGATGTGGTATTGTGGTTGAAATATGCCAGATCAGCAAGATCGATTGGCACGCGCTCAGGTGAATGTCCCGGATTTGCCATGGTGAGCGGTTGCCAGAGTAGTGCTTCTGAAGTAAGAGCTATAAGTAAAATTGCATGCTGATTGAGAGAAGTGGCCCCATGAGCTTACTGAAAGCGAAAATTCGACCGGGGTTTCTCAACGAGATGTTTTGTCCTTCAGTCTTCATGTGGCAATTAGCAGTGATCCATAAGTACTTATTGTAGTCGCGGGAGACTCCTACCGATGAGGATGATAACGTGTTGAGGATCAATTTCCAAGAGACGGGAAGAAATCTGTATCAGGGCTTTAGAAGTAATTGGTACTAGACTTTGGAAATCTATGAAACAAGAACCCATCTTGGAGTCTGTCAGGCCCAGTCATGTATATAGTTCTCAAGTCCAGATGCCATCATGCAACTAAAAGAAAAGCTTAGTGAACATGGTATTGGCGCTAAAGAATTTCATGAATAACTTGTGATAAGATGTAAGCGACGGTATTCATGCTCTCGGCGTCAAAGGCGTTATTTCTGCACGTGTGAAACACACCATCTTATCAGCGTCATTTTCGCAGTGAGGACCTCAGTGACATTCAGTGAACAATCTCGTTGTATGTTCATGGTGACACAGACCCCCATCGTTAAAGACCCTAGGTGCAATTGGAAGCTCAGAATACCCAAGGAAACGATTTCGTTGAATAGGGAAGCTCTCGTGTCGGTCAAGTTGTTCTATTCTGAGTGTCAGACGTGTGCTGGATTCGCCAAGGTAGCGGGGATTGTTCTCGTAGCCTTGCAAAGGCTTTAAAGAAATTTTTGGCGTTGTCAATTTTTGGCGTTGTGACACACCCTCCTGTCCTGCTTTGTAGTGTTTACCAACGTTTAATTGCCAAGACGTTGTCAATATCAACGGGCGGTAAACTAGAAAGATAAGATCTCATGACATGATATATCCTTTGTACCGAGAAAACATTTACTTGGTTGAATGATCCCTGTCACCACACATTCATCTGTGGTGCTTCCACCCCAGGAAAGATTGCATTTGGCATGACTCATGTTGTATCCATCAGGCTGGCCACTTGCCGGCTTACCATATCTCCCAATGAAGGCAGAACCAGCCGTTTCTACCTGACGTGTTCCAGCACTAATAAGCTATATTGGCAATATTCATCTTACGAGTCGACTCTGATTACTTCGCTGACTTCTAGGTTAAGGAATCCTGTCATGGCTACAAATCCTTCTACTTATATTTCCAAGGAATTGCAGCTTTAGTGCTGATTGTTCAAGACACTCTATTCACAGTGCAAAGATCTGTACAAATGGTGCTGATCTGTGGGAGATCCAGACATTGAGTCCCCAGGGTATTAGACTACATCGTGCTATCTCGTCAGGGAAGAAGATACTGTTTTGGGTCACCGTGACCATGTGCTATCTTAGTTCCTGTCTACTTTGTGACTAGGCGTGAGCTAATCGGAAAGACTTGACCAGAGAATTTTCGTGGGCTAGTCGGAACTTGCAGCCGCACTTGCAATCTTAGCTTGTAGGCTGAGAGACTAAGTATTCGCTCTCGATGATTATTGTGCGGCATTGGCTAAATAAGTACTTATCTGAATCAAAGCTGGAATTCTTTGCAGAGTGAAAAAAAGTCAACCCTAAGTTTCAGTGGGAAATAACATAGATGAGATGAAGTCCAGAGGCAAGAATGAAAGTCAAGTTGTCGGAGGATGAGACAAGCCGGTCCATGGGCGGTGTACTCGAGTACATGAAGACGTTCCAGGTAACAAAATTTTGTAGTTGGCTTTCTCCAGAATGTAATGATGTAGTAGATCTTTGTGTAGACTACCTACCTAAGGTAAGGTGAATTCATGACTAGACTAAAGGGGCCACCTATGGACTATCGCAGCTGTCAGTTCTACAGAATATTGAGAAACTCCGGGCCAGATCTAATTTCAGTATAGCTTTATCAGCATGCTTCGATCCTATCGAGATGAAATTATAGGATGATGCAATGGCCTTCTTTTCTTCAAGGGTTCTTAACAGTGTCCCAGACGGCCCGGGACCAGTGAGGATCAACCTGAATGGCTGTGGAACCGGCACCCCCGCATGTTGATCTTGAACCAATGTGATCAACCTGCCTATGGCAGTAATCACCTCGCTCTCTGATTCATATAAGTTAAGGAAGTCGATAACACAGTCTAGTGACCTCAACTTGGTTACTCTTTGCACTAGCGTCTTGAAGAAGTCGCAGAGATATTCGATATCGTTGCGTTTGTTCCTTTCGAAGCTCAGAGTTTCGCCTCCTTTATCTGGACAGATCTTTCTCCCGTAGAGGTCAATCATTTGATAGATGAGGGATGTCATCAAGGTCAAGCCAACGGGCCTCGATTCATGACCCTCCCGCTCCCGGCGATAGTATCCTCCCATGAAGAAGACGAGGGCACCAGGGGAGCTGTCCGTCGGGCCGGCGTAGTCATCCCGCACGTCGTTAATCCAACCCCAGCAAAAGGTTGATAATGGTGTTGCGTGTCGCTTTCCTGACTGCGGAGTACTGTTCAGGTCATTGCAATTGATGTGCAATACGCCTGGCCCTCGTCTCCCCTTCCATGTTTTAATCTCTCTTACTTCCTCATATCTCAGATACAGTGGCTCACGGGTATCTCGATGTTGTGTATGATTTTTTTCCACCCAATCCAAATCTTCCGTGTCGCGGTCTATTATGGTCTTGATATCTCCATCATCGCCGATCATCGTCAGCATTGTACCCCATATCCCTTTCGGATCGGTAGGTTCAGGTGCAGTCATGGTGGGCGATGAAGTATACCCTCGTCCTAGAACAGTCATCAAAAGTCAGAATGCGCGGGGCTATCAATAATTGCCATACAGAACTCACTGCTTGTGACTGACGGCGCTATGTATCGACACTTGATGCTATGGGTAGGCTGTAGGTAGTGAAGACTTTTGCTTCTGGGGCTTTCTGGTAGCTCTGATGAGACGAGGTTGTCGACCGAATTTCTTTTCACCAGCAGTAAGACGATCAAGCTGTAGATACTTATGCTCAAATGCCCTCAAGAGTACACGAATCGAATTGCGAAGAGTCATGGTGGACTGTCCTTTGAGTATAATTATTTTTGGTGAAAAAAACACGCTTCTTATGAGATATATCCATCAAGAAACCATGTGTTGTCTGCCTCCGGGCAGATGATCACCTCTCGTGAGTCGTGAAATTTTGCAATTCACTCTAAACCTTTACCTTTTTCACTTTTGACCACCAGGCCCAGCTTTGATAGATACAAAGGAGCTTACCGCTAGCACGTTTCTAGAACCGAGGATACCAAGATTGCGAAGTCCGAAAGGTCGATATTGAGGAATCTACATTTCATGACATGATGTCAATGCTGCCTTGTGACTTGATCATTTGTGTACGTAAATAAAAAGAAGAGTGCATATGCGCGAAATTTCACTAGGCCAAATCAAAGATAGGAACAGTGAGAAACCTGGCAGTTCATTCGCACCGCTGATAGACAGTTTGCGGGCTATCGGCGGTAGAGATCAATGTGCAACAAAAACTGACATGAAAGGTTTGGCAAGGTAGACTGCGAAAGTCACATCAAAGTCCCATTAACCTTTGGCTCAAAGGACCTGTCATACGGGCTGAATTGAAGCACACATTCAATCTGATGCAAACCTCCATCTTCAAACGTCTTTTTCGGGACGACAGTTCAGCCAGAGAAATGTCAAAGTCAATGTGGATAATGCATGTCGTTGGCACACCTCATTCTGGAGTGGAGACAATTCGCAAAGAGGCGCCTGCCCAAATATCTGAATAATCTTAACCCACACCCGACTCAATTGCGCTCATCGCATCACCTTCGGCGCCGGCGTCGCCACATGACGGCAAGACCATCGCGATCAGATAAGAGCTATTGTAGTACGGCAGCGCCTGCGAAGTCACGATGTGTGTGACCTGTTGGCTGTTCAGCATATTGCACCAATTGAAACGCAGCAATTACCGGCAAGTGGCAGCAATTGCGGTATGCATGGGCGCTGCAAAGAGAGTCCATCAGTCCGAGGGCTGTCCATTCTATGTATGGCATATCTCCAATCCCGGAATGCGACCTATTCTATGTATTTTCCTGGACGTTGGCCAGCTTGTTCTGCGGAAAAGCCGAAACAGGTTTGTGGTGGAATCATCAAACAACTTGTTCGCACCGCCGAGGTATTAGTGATCAGGCTGTCAAATGGACATGCCTTTGTGCCAAAGATACTCATTTCGTGCCAGGGTCAAAAAACAGCGCAGTTCTTTGTTGGCCCTAGCTTCGTTCTTGAATCTTAACCGCTCAGACCCTTGCCGACTCCCATGCCCATTCTTCCTAGCTTACTGCTGATTCAAACAAATCAGACACCCAAGGTCTCAAAGCCCACACTGAGGCATGACTGTGGACTGGCGGTAGAGGAAGCATGCTCAACGTCGCATTGTCTTGATCACACGGCTACAACAAAGACAAGAACAGTCAGTGTTCGAGTCTCCAGTCATGCGCGCACTGGTCGATACTCCATTGGGTTGTCTGTGGGCGGGAGAGGTTGCAGTTGCGCAAACATTTGGTCGAGTATGTTCCGGCCAAAGAAATGGACAACGTCTTGGTGTTTTTTGCCTGCAATGAAATAGGCGGATTGGCGGGTGTCACATCCCTATCCACTTTGAACCCAGCAGAGTACAGGTACCTGATCTAGGTATGCAGAGAATTTTCTTCAGGGCATGCCCACCCGCTGAAAGATCTGGTGTAACAAGGATGCTACCGCCCGTCATAGGACACAGTCGCCCCTAAGCCTCAACTGCCATCCACCCGTCCGTGCATCAACTGCAGCCACAGCAGCCGGGACACCTAGGCGATGAATCTGTTGACCAATTCAGCCAAGAAAGAGACACACGACGAAGAACGACGTATATTACGGAAGACTCTTTATGCTTATCGAAGTATCCCAAACACAAGGACGGCACGCAGCTCGAGGGAAAACAAAAGTGTCGATCACTATAATAAGAAAGACATATTTGTTTTTTTCGTTTTTTTAAGCGCAAAAGATCGAAAATCACGGGGTACCTACTATAGTACACTCGTTGAGTAAGGTACATATTACGCGCAATATGCTCAGACACTCAATCAATATGAATCCTAGGTAAGTAACGTTCAAAGCACCTTGTTTTACTGTGGCTCTCATTGTCCTAGGACCGGAGCTCAGTGACATTCTACTAAATCCATGGTTAATGTACAATCGAACGCTAGGTCTGATGAATGGCTTTCCTACAAAGTTTCAAAGTCTTACACTCTTTGTTACCTTGTGTCACCTATTACATTACCACATAGGTACTTTACTTAAGAATAGCCAGCACCGGTATCATCAATACCTAGAAGCTTACTATAAACAGATTTATCTTATTGAAAGCCGACCCACATAATTCCCAGTGAAAGTAAGAAAAGCGCCAAACATCCCAGTCCTTCGCTTTACGTCGAAAATAGGAAAGCAGCTACTGTTCCGTTTGATTACTTTAATATATAGTAAGGTATATTAACTGAAGATCTATGTATAGTCATGTAAACAACACAAAATCTTGTATCTAGACTCAATTTCTTGGCGCCGCTACTAATAATATGCCGAATGATATCGTCTATGTCAAGCAGGAACCCTCTACAAAGATTCTTTCAGAGGGAAATCGTACCAATAAAAAAGTTTGTCAAAAGGTTGAGAGGAAGATTTCTCAGTGAAAACTTTCGGAACGGCAGGACCTGTACAGATCAATTTAAAGAAGGGCGCGATTTCGTTGATTTTAGCCAAGGCCAGCACAACCTGCATCACATCTTCAGAGTACGTATCGCTGTTGCGGGTACCGAGACCGTCAATAGTGCAGATCATCTTTTTGTCGCGCTCGTTCAGCCGGGGTTCTGCCAGTTGAACTACCCTCAAGAACATCTCACATAATGCGAGGGATCCAATTTCCGGTATTTCCAGCATTGCCTTAAAGTCGGTATACATGTACTTGATATCGTCCGCGGAGAAGTAGTTCAAGTTTTTCTGGAATATCTGGTGCAGGAGGGCCCGAATTATAGTGCTTCCCCTAAGGGGCCCGTCTTTTTCTATATGTAGGCCACAGAAGAAGATAAGGCCGACATTATGCTTGCTTCGAACGTCGTCGATCAACTTAGCGCAGAGTATTGAAAAGGGGGTGACAACATAGTCGTCAATCGAGACGTTCAGCTCAAGTTCATACACATGGACCCCGTATAATTGGTTCAAAGTGTAGCCAGAGAGATGGGTTCGGGGAGCGTTCATGATATCAAGCGACTTATCATAGAGAAAACGATTACGATCCGAACCCTTAACAAGCCAGTTTTGATTTTGACATTGATTGAAGATCCTGTCGACTAGCATTCGACCTGCTTCGTAGCCTTTGTCATCTTCGTAGCCGCCCAAACCGAGCTCAACGAATACACGTTCTTGGTTGTATCGTTCCTTCAAGGCAAGGTAGCATGTCCCTGTGTAACCATAATCAGGGGCAAGCAAGATTTGCAATGATGTGAAGTATTCCGCCTCGGTGGGCATGATGAGCAACCTCAAGATACTTTCTCCTATCGATTGAGTTAGGTTGACAGTATGACACAAGGTATAGGGGCCATCACACACCTTGTTGAGAAAGTTGAGACTACCAATAACTCCAATATTGGTACTTGAAATTGTGGCACGCTAGTTGCCGTTTTGTAGAAGGGTTTTTGGGAAAGAGCGTTTGTATGACTGATATAAGGGTGAATATGAGATAAGTCGAATGAAGACTGAGGGCTAAAGTCGCCGCAAGAAACAACTTTCACAAATTCAAAGCGTGATGAGGCAGACTTACTTTTCAAAGTGCGTCAGATTTGCTCTAAATAATGATAAGTATAAAGTTTGAATGTTTTCTTTGTATCAAAGCCAAGGTATGTGTACTTTGAATGTCATGGGTTCAAATCTGATCTAGTACTGCGTTCATTCACACCATTCAAAGCATGTTGTGATACATGGCGGCGATGTAAATCTTGGCTAGAAGGAATCTTTCCCTGCATGACACTCTTTACCAAAGTCCTTCCATGAGACGGTGGCAAAGTCTTCAAAATTCAAGGTAAAGAACGAACAAAGTCTTTGGTACGCCTTTCAATGTCATGCTCGGGCCTTTTTTTTTTTCTTTTTTTGCTTTTGTTTCGAATGTAATTTTGGCCATGTGAAGTAGAATACTGGGAAAAGGTTTGCTTGAAGCCTGGCGGTTAGAAGGTAATAATCACTCTTGCTGTGCCGCAGTCCAAATGGAGCCTTGTAAACAAAGATCGGATATGAGAGTATCCAAGCTGCAATACCACCTTTGTCATTAGCGTCTCTTAGCATGGAGTGTTTGGAGGCGGTAAGGAACAGATAAGGCCTCATGATTTTTGTTCTTTTTGTCTACAATGTTTGTCGGCGGTGAGTCGAAGATAAACTGCCATGAGACTTTTGCCTGCTCTCTTGAAAAGGTGGATCGACAGATGTTTGTTTCAGTACGTCCATGATGCACGTAGTTGGATCGATAGGACTGGAGAGATTGCATTTAGCTCCCCTGAAAATCAACCACCAAACACCAAGATCGCGTTTCTCTTTGTAGTTTGAACAGACCATCACAAACAGACCGCGTCGTATGTCTGGGTGCTCAACTTCATGATTACAGCACATTGGGGGAAGGGCAAGGTTCATGTCTGCGTTTCCGCCATAGTTCAGCGTCCGCGACCTTCTCGTTCAGAGGAGTTAATTACTAAATCACCACGCTAGTATTGGATGTATAGTTTCCAATGATTGGCTGAGCTTTGGACGTGTGAGAGTGGCGGAGTGGCTGTGATGAACAGTCTGGAGCTTGTGATAATACCATCCCTCCCCTCTCTGTCTAGTAAATGTTCAATCACTACACCGGCAACCGACCTTACAACCCGCCTGTAGGCGAACGGACTATTGCTGCCATTGCACACTTCTGACCACTATTCGTGATAACGCTAGGAATTGAAATCAAGTAATCCGGCTATTGGCAGCATACAGGTTGCAGCGCCTTAGCAATAGAGACGTTGGCTTGAGATGGATGCACTTACACCTAATTGCTCATTGGTGTAGCTACCTAGAATGATACTCCACGTAGCAAGAAGTGCCTTAGCGAAGGCCTCTTATTTGTTTTGCTCTCAGATATTTATGCATTCTCTTACAAATTCGAGATTAGGTTGGATTGAATTATCCAAGTACCCTTATTTAATTCTTTTTGGCGGTAGTCACAAAATTAACACATGAATGGAGAGTCCTAATGCACATTCGCTGTCGATGGGGCAACGAATTAGTGGGGCAGTCGATGGTGGAGTGTCAACAGAGGTACCGGCATGTTCTTCTCTTGAAAGAGATCAAGAGATAGTATGGGGAACACTGGTTACTTTCCTTCTTTAATATATAGCACATCTGGAGAAACACTGTAGCAAATCAAGAATGTTCTAATTGATACGATTCTGTGGTCGATCAAATATGATGATCTGTTCAGGTCTTGAAATTTAGGATGTAAAGAAAGGAATTCTATGGACGAAACCCATCATGCTTGCCGAAATCGACCTTGAAGCACAGATTCTGGTGCCCTTCAGGACTTTTGAAACCCTCCTCAGGTCGAGGGTGCAGATGCCAGCAGTGGTAGTGCTAAATCAATAATTTGGCAAGTGTCTCCATTTGGGAAGAGTGCATCATCCCAGTCGCCTAGACGAGGACTCGTACAGATCAGTTGGAATGTCGGTACGTAGTCATTGCCAGTGTGACTTAGACGGACCATCTTCAGCAAGGTCTGTATGACCTTGGCCACTCCGGAAGAATCCTCTACATCACTGCGAGAACCCACACCATCAATGAAACAGACAATCCTTCGCTCTGGCTGCTCATGATCCTTCACTGGAGGGAGCGTCCGGATCACTGTGTCGAGCATTCCACATAGTTGACCGAGATCATCTGTCTCAACTTCCTCGCGGAATTCGTGTCCGCCCGATATGACATCTTTGTATTCGATTATAAAGACGCGGATGTATTCAAAGATCCGGGCCAAGAGAGAGCGTATCATGAGCAGTCCTGTACTGACGCCGCGTTGATGTGGTTCCCGACCGCAATAGAAGACTAGACTGATGATATTCCGATACTCGTGATTTTGTATGCCTTGACCGCGTCGCAACTCCTGTACCAGAGTGCTGCAGGCCACTGACAATGAAGTCACTCTGAGGCCATTGCACAAGGTCCAGATGCGATGGGTGTCATCAGAGTTCTGCGACTCTCTGGGAGCTTGTAGACAGAGAGAATTATCGTAAATGAACAAGCTACCCGGCTGCTCCTGTTTGACGAGATTGTTACAACAAGCCTTGGCTTTTGTGACAGGTGCTCCCTTCTGGAATTGGAAAGGAAAATGATTCGCAGTTGCGTTGATGTGCCCAGTATCAGCCGTTTCGTCAACACTTACATTTGGATTACGAAGAAGTCTTATCAAGTCGTCAAAGTATGCTTGACCTTCTTCGATGTTCCAAATTCGTGGATTTTTATCTTGATCAGCCATGATGCGTGATTGAGGGTATTCTCTTTTCTAGAACGGAGGTCATGAGCGGGACTTCTTGGTGATAGATATGAGCCAAGTGTCGTCAGGAATGCGGCTTACCAACGGATTTAAAACGAATCAAGAGATGGACCTCGACTTGATATCTCAACCCGAATCGAATAACCCAGAAAAGTGTCGCGAATACGCGCGGTAATCGCAGTAAAGAATAAGAAGTGAGAGTACGACGATCTACCCAGCAGATCAAGTTCTGTGTTAAGCAAGCTATGTAAAAGAGTGAGGAGATGACACCAAATCATAAAGCAATCCCCATACGGGCATTGGAGGTTTATATCAATTTTTTCTGAGCTTGCATTGGGACTTCTATATGTCAGGGTCCCAACTCTGAAGCTCTGAACATGTTCTTTACACCAGTGCAGACAGTAAATGACCCGTAAACCCTCCGTCCCTTGCTCTCGCATGAGATTTGAAATCTCGCATGAATTCTGAAAGACAACTGGCTTCATGGGGGCTTTCAAGCTTTCATGAAAGCTGTGATGAAGGAATGTTGATGCTGGTGATGCCCACTTAACGTTGCATCACCATGGATGACCTAGTCCAACGTAACATATGTAGCTTTCATCAACGCTTTACTGAACAGCGACCACATCATTGGTATTTCAGACCTTTGGTGACCATGACTGAACAGTATCATTGATGTAGCCACCTCAGAACCCATACCTAGCCGTTGACTTTGACCACGCGCAGTGTAGACAGAAACTGGGTAACAGCCAGCCGTGAGCAAGGAGGGTGCCAGAGACCGAAGTGGCTTGTGATTTCCGTCGGCCCCTCAAGCACGCTGATAGGTATTCGCATGCGAGAAATCGCGTCAAAGACCAGCAGGGGATCTGCATGCATCCAGAATTTACTTCCCTAGGATTGTGTGTCTTTCATCGAGTGTCTATGGAATGTGAGCCGGATGACAAGCTCATCGCGACATCGTTTCGTAGAAAGGCTCAACCAAAAACTGTTCAGATTACATGCACAAGGCACATGAGCTATGGAAATGACTGCATCTGAGCTAATCACCGGGTATAAGCTTTGCCTTATCTTTTGAACAGCCGTTCACCAATAGACTCCACTTCGGCATCAGAATCTCACATTCATCACCCCAACACAAAGAAAGTGGGTGTACACAAGTCTGCCCTACCGTGGTAGTTGAGCATCAGCAGATTTTTGTTTAGGGATGTTGATTACTCAATCACTTTGATGGTACGTAGGTACCCGAGAGCCGTTGAGCTTTGACCCTCGGTGGCCAAGTGGCCATGTTGGAACAGCTCGAAGCTTATCGTTTGTCGCGCTCTGCTTCCCATGATACCATCCCCTCTTTCTTTACATGTCCGCAGACTCGGCAGCGGCTCTCACTGATACACGTAGTACCGGTTTCATCGCCCACAAAGGCCTTTTGTTACAATGGCTTGGTGGCATGATCTACCTAATGAGCTTAAGAACCAAATTTGGGGCCATCTCCTCAAATGCGGCCGGGAAGAGAACCATCCATTGGCCTCTTACGCTTCCATCTCTTCCGAATGGCAGAAAATCATCGAACCCTTCGTCTTTGAAGAGATATACATCTCACTTCATTCCCAAAAGTCCACCGCTAGCCGACGAACAGTTCTCCGGGCCCGCAACATCCTAACCAAGACTCGCCAGAAAGTCCTCAAACGACTCCGTGTTCGTATCGACTATGATGCCACCAACACGTCCAAAAGCTACAGGAGGGCGTTTGCGGAGGTTGTAGTCTCCTTGTTCGACTTGTTGCAGACCTGGAGGACGGAAGATGCCAAGATCGGCCTGGAAATCGTCGAAGTCCGGCCCTGCGGTCCCCCGCTGCTCAAGTACGGACTAGAGCTCTTGCGGCAGCGAAAGTGGTCAATCGGTTGCGTGCGGTCGCTCCGCATCGTGAAACCACAATCTTACATTTCCCGCAGTACTGGGCCCGAGCTTGCCGACCTTATTTTGACTGGACTTGCGCCTGGTCTGGACACATTGGACTACAACTACGAAATCGGTTGCCGACCTGGATATAAGCACAAGCTTTGCCTAGTCACGGACTGGCAGATTGCGCCGGTCGAACTGAAGTCGCTCACTATCCGAGAATCCTGCGACCAGAGCAACTTGAACACGCAACATGATTGGATCGAATACATTCGCACGCATCAGGGCATCCCCGAGCAACTGTATCGTCAGAGCCGCGGGCTGGAGAACCTATGTGTCTCGTTTGCCATCGACGCTACTGACTTCTTTTCGCACATGATGGACCAGCCCAAGAACGAAGTCCCATCCCTTCAGGACAGCGTCGCTGGCCCTGGTTGGCCTGAACTACAGGTCATCAGTCTGACGTCTCATTCTATTTGGGACAAGGCACCCGAAATGACAAACAAGCTCCTGTTGTCAGCCGCGAGAGCTGCCCGACGGATGCCAAAGTTGAGAGTGATGGAGCTCTGGAACGCGCGGGAGCAATATATTATTTCGGCAGGCTGTTTCCGTTACTCCATTGAGAAAGGTGATACCCCAACTTTCACATGGGAGAGTACATGGGACTTCGAGATTGAAGAAGCAACAAAAGCGGCGTGGATAGATGCCGCCAAGTCACATTCTCCTGTTGGTCTGATTTTCGAAGTCCGAAAGGTTGCTGCTAAGCTACCGTGGCCCTTCTCACCTGCCCGGGCTCATGCGGATGCGTTTTCCTACCGCAATGCCTCTCAGTCTCTGGCTGGGTCAAGCACAGAAAACAGCTTGGGTCTGCACGTTGCTGATCTAGGGTTAAATTGAAGATTACTCCAATATGAAACTTCTTACGTTGATTGATCCTCAGTCTCGAGTGAGTACTTACTTTGAGATTGTAGATGAAATCAAAATTCCATCTTCCGCCTGTAAGAAAAACACCCATGACCAAGTCAATCCAACCCTGTTCATATTGATTACAAGCAACAAAGGGCACTCATCCAAAAGTGCTGGTTTCGCTGCAGACCACAATCCTACATCGTCACTCAGCATTACAATAAATTTCAGTTGCCGAGACGACTCTGATCTCTACCACGAAGCAGAAGCTTGCATCAATGCCATCATTCCCAGCCGCGACGCAAGAGCTTCTAACCGACACTGAACGAGCGCGCCGCCGCATGGCACACGGAACTCTCAACCTCACTACTTTGCTTCCAAATGCCAAGGAAAATCTTCGTGATTAACCTTTCAAGGTACTAGTCAACGACACTAAGGGCAGCCACAACGGCTCATGGTCACCGTCTCTCGCCATGTCGGTAGGCTTCGCTCAGATTTAGATCAGCCACTGTCGCGCTAAGCGGGAGATGTTGGGGGCCTCCAGCTGGCATTGTCCTGGTTGTTCTGGACCGTGCTGTCCCGTTGCCGCAGTCGCGCTCGATACGAACGTCTGTTCCCGCGTCATGAGCGGCCTTTTCCGTGTTTGTCTGGTTTGTGATGTTATATTGAAGGGTTGCATATCGGTCGGGGTTTCGCTGGTTGATGCTGGTCGTCAATTAAGGTAAGCAGGGGTTTCTTGCCGATCATATCGGTACTTGCGTATTGGCCACGTCCCAGCAGGGGTACATTAGTGCTTGGGGTGCTCTTGAGATCCGCGAGCTTAATGGTTCCTAGAATAACCGTAATACCGGGGTAGACAAAGTGCCAAGTCACCGAGTCGCAGGTAGGCCCGCGATGCGAAGTAGTGCCGACAGAGAAGCTAAGGGAGTTCGATCAAAGTCAGAAACAATATTTCTGTCTGTCATGGAACATTGGGTTCTTGGGAGTGACGTCAATCTACTTATCTAGAGACACTAGGGAGAAGGGGCACAAGTCAAATGCAAACCGACAGACTATACTCAAAGTTGCATAACCCAGAACTGGAGGCTCCGGTAGCTTATTTCTAGACAGCGGTGTGTGTTCTCGTCCATGGTTGCGCGGGAACATGATTGAGGTGAGCTTATCGCCCACGGACGATTTTGGTGATTCCGTCCTCTTCAACATAAAACGCACGGCCAAGTATACCTGAAAGCCGCGGGCTATGAAAAAGGCCCAAATTGGGCGTTAGCGGGAGGCTTCGGTGGGCTTTCGACGGCGCCGTCGACATCGATGCGCCGCGCTACTGCAGGTCCTTGGCAAACATGAGCCTCTAAACATTCAACTTAACAGCACTACTTCGGGAATGAGCCAGGCAAGCCAGGGGTGACCGCGGAAGGGCTCAGGACCTCAGCGGTGAGGCTCTCATGTAAGTTACCTAGCTGCACGTTTCCACGCCCTCGGACCATTCACTACAGCAAACATAACGCCCGGCGCCCATTCCGGCTCGGAGTCGAATTCTTCCCCGTCAGTTATGCAGCGTGCCGTCCTAAGCTCCGGAGGAGGGACAAGACGTATTCCCACTTTTTCTTATCCCACTAATGAAAGGGGGCACTCAGATGCTTTTTTCAATGTCTCGTTTGCTGCTAAACCATCTAAGCTTGTTTGGACACGGGACTAATGACGGCGACACGCATGTTATCAACCCTAAGACGTCGAGGTTTGAGAGCCGTTTGCTTTTCTCGATGGTTGCCGAGGCGCTACTAGACCCGTCTTCCCCTTGCATAGTGTGTCCTATCTTCCCTAAGGTTGGCATATCACGCGGCGAGGGAGCTTGAGCCAGGGACGATTGGAGAAATATAAGATAGATGTGTTGGTCTCCATTTTTTGAAAAGATGAAGAGATGACAAGGCACACAGAGTAACATCTTCATTCTTCATTCATTCACTTGCTCACAGGTCTCTTGTCGTTTTCGACCACGAGTTTCACAGTCACTACAACACTACACTCACCCACTCTTTCCAAGATGAAGTGCTACATTGTTGCTGCTTTCGCCGCCGCGGCTGCGGCCCTGCCCGAGGTTGCCAACCTTGCCGGCCGTCAGAATGGCTGCAACGCCGATAACTGCCTCCGCGCCGTGCGGGCAACTCGCTTCGGAACGGCCA